CGTTCAACAAAAGTTGACCGTGAATAAAAACTGTGGTTCCACTGATTTTCAACCAGCAAATTTTCAGTCAAGGCTGACTGACTGAGTTTCAACTTAGAAATTTGCACAAAAGTGCAATAGTTCGAGTCGCCACACTCCTTGTAGCATGCTAAGTTAGATAAACATGAGAGAAAAGACCATTAAAAACAAATGAGAAAGAATAGGGTTAAATGGATATCGCAGGTCAAAAAGAGTGAATGCATCTGCGTCATTGAGAACAGTTTTGAGCCATATCAATTGTCTCCATCCATTGGTTGTTAGCATCCCTAGTCTACATCTCCCTACACGGCTCAAACTGACTGTCGGAGATTCTATGCACAGATCCCAAGTTTTGATTTGACTACTACCAAGCCATTTTCAACTTGATCGTATGCCAACAAACATTACTTATCGAGGAAGGCGATGGCTAGGCATGTGTAACACGTGTCCTAACTATCTCATGCTTCACAACCTCACTAATTGACTTACCTTCTCTACTTGACGCCTAACATCTATATTATTTAATCCATTATGTCACGTAATACGGGAGACAGAACACAGACACCTAGGATCAAAGACAGTTGGCATTTTCTTATCTTCCACTTTCAACGGCTATGTCTCAGTAATAAATGAGGATGGAGCGAACTGATGCTCACTCACTACACACGTCTTTCGATGGTCGGATATCACTTCTGCTCCAGGAATGGCATCAGTTGGAAAGTGCCACACGAGTCTTTTGTGACCGTACTGAGATTTCGTCAGCAATCAGTCCTTCAGGTCAAGAAATATAACAGACCCTGGAAAGTATTCCAGAATCTGTCTAAGGCTGAAGATAAGATCAATAGACCCTATTCCCCGTCTTAAGTCCATCTGATTTTCTCGCGTCCGTTTCTCCCGAGCACCAATTTATCTATGCATGACCATTGAGGCTAGAGCTTTGAACACCGATTCGGCTAAGCTACTTGACTTGTTTTCCTTCTTGTAAACTAGGATAATCGTGACTTACACTAGTCTGGAGGTCTAGTTTTCCAACGCGTTAGTGTTTTGGTCGGTTCCAAGCCCGGGAAAAGATGGAGGTTCGGTGTAGGCTTGGCAACTCTGACCTTGAAAATCAACCCAATCTATACAAAAACTTCAAAGCACAAAAGAAGTTTTCACTGAAACCGCGGAGACGAAATGACAGGAGCTGATGAAAGCCTTCAGGAAGCCAGTCAGCCGATGTGTCTTCCTATGAAAGCGAAAATAGGGATGGAGACGCGGAATGTTCGTAAAATATACGAGGCTGGGATGGTTGCCGAAGAAATGAGGATGTACGGAATAAAAGTGCTAGAAATATGCCAGAGCAGGTGAAATGGATGTAGACTGGAGAGTCAACAGTTTACGCTGCTCATCCACACAACAACCACGAGCACACTGAAGGAGTGGCTACCGTGATGTCACACACATAAGGAAAATGTCTTATGCAGTGGGGTCTAATCTCCTCCAGGATTATGACAGCAAAATTCCACTCAAAAGGAAGGTTACAACTACGCAATGCTACATGCAACTCATAAGAAGAGAAGAAGACATATTTCTAAAGGAATACACCCCAAATGGTGATATCAAAATCTCGAAGTCTACTATGAATGCTAAACTGGGGGCAGACAACCCAGAAAGAGAACTAAACATAGGTCGAGAGGCTCTCGGCAAAATGAATGATAACGGGTGACTCTTCACAGATTTCTGCGTCTTCACTTAATTAGTGATTCGAGGTAGCGTGTAAAACCACAAGGACATACACAAAGTAACGTGGATTTCACCTGACAGACACACCACAAACCAGATAGATTTCATCTCAATGCTGCTAAAGGAAGTGGAGACCAAGCCTGCCGAAGACATAGTCTAGGAGGCAAATAGATGCGCGCTCAGACCACTATATAGTTGAGGGAATATTCAGGGTCAAGCTGGAAGCCTTCAAAACAACTAAAGACAGACGGCCTTTCAAGTTCAACACTTAGAAATTGAAGGACAAAACTGTGAAAGATACCTTCACTGCTGCTATCATAGCGGATTTGGAGACACTAGATGGTGTCACTGAGGTCATCTGTGTGGAAGAGCATTGGAACACTCTGAGGGCGGTGTACAACCATTTTAGGAATAGAGAAGAGACAAGGGATGGCTCTCAACGGACACCTGGAAGCTAATAGAAGCGAGGGTTTGGTGAGAGAGAAGATGCAACAAAACAAAAATGGACAACAGAAGGAGAAGCTGAGTTCAATGTACACTGTACTGAATACAGAAGTGAAGAAGAGTGTTAAGAAGGACAAAGGACAATCCTACAACTCACTGGCCGGCAACTGAAACAGAACAAGCAGGCCGCAAGTAAGAGAGACCTTGGAACATTCTATCAGATAATCAGGTCTCTATCCAGAAAGAGATCAACCCAGATACTGAAACCAACAAAAGATGCTCAAGGGGTTCCCGATTACCGTGGAGGTGACAAAAAAGAAAACAATGAGCTGATCACTTCTAGGGACTTTTGAATAGACCATCACCTGCAGCTCGCCCGGAAATACCACCACTGAAAGCACGCACAGAACAGCCTGCCGGTGAACACCGATCCTCCAACGAAAGCAGAAATCCTGAGTGAGACCAAGCCACTGAAGTCTGAATTGGTTTCGATGCTTAGAGGTGTTCATGGTGTAGACTGCAGAAGAGGATAAAACAGCTGCCCAGTACTTCTTGTCCCCTAACTTACGCCGACTCGACTAGATATATCTTGGAATGTAACATTATTCACGGAAATATTAATAAAGCTTACAGAATGGCCACAGAGCTGTGTAGGTAGTTTTTTGGTGAACTTTATCTGATTTTAGATAGTTGACTGGCATTAAATGTACTACGTTTAACAGGTGTGCCAAATTCAGTCAGTCATAATTGAAAGTCACAGCTGTCTTAAAATGAAAAGGGTGGATACAACCCGAATTTTAATGTAGATTTGTTCACAAACCAACATCACTTAGAGAATCAATGAAAACCAGAGAGCACTGGATGGTTGTGTCATTTTAGTTTGGGACTCTTCAGGGGTTTGCATACACACCACCATCAGAGGTAGAACTCAGGACCTCGGTACAAGGCCAGCTCGTTGAACTTTCAGCCACTTGGAGCTGAGATCAAATCACCGTAAATTGTGTTTTTTTCTTCTTTCAATTAATGATATAACGCTTTTGCCTACTAATCCCAACTATGGGCATTCATTCGACAGTGAAACGGTGAACCCCACTGACCACAGCTTTTCATTACAACTTGAGGATATCAGTTCAATAGCCACTCGATTACTGCAGATAGGTGTTTAGATTATGAATTTTGTAGACATTTGGATTAATTTCAGTGTAGACTTTGAATATTCCTCTAAATGAGGTTACTTTGTGATGAAATCTACACTGAAATTGATTCAAATCCCTAAAGAACTCATGATCTAAACAACCCATATTCACTTGCATAGTCAGTAGAAGCTGTTAGACGATTATCAACTATGAACACAGTGTCTACTGACTAAGTACAGGCTTTGTAAGAATGCGTATTATTACCAATACGTATTAGTTAATGCATTGTTACGCTGGATAAATATTCATACGGTCTCTGTGATCGACTGACTATACTCTCCTTAGTTTATACCGTTGACAGATGAAAAATGAGAACAGCTTACTCAGACAGTATGGTATAATTAAAAATCATCCTACATACGAGTACTTTGCTTTGTCTCATTTTCTAAATTGTTTATAACCATTTAGTATATTCCGTTCAGTTCTCTACTCATCACTGCTTAAGAACAGTATTAAAAATTTACTCATAAATGTAAAGAATTAAAAAAAAAACGACATCAATACGAAACAAGAACTTTCTTTCTAAATGATTTCAAACACTGATTTACATATAATAGAAACATCTTTTTGAAAACAAATACCATGAGTTTTCTCTAAAATTTAACTAACTACAGTAATATATATATATATATATTCGCGTTTTTAATATAAAGTTTCGTTTATTATAGCTATCATTATTTATTCTTCATTGATTTCAATATTTTATCAACAATCATACTCGAACAATAGATCTTCAAAGGAAAAGATATGAAGCAGTGGGAAAGGTGAACAGTTAAAAAGTGTATTTAACTATACTAGAGGCTAAACGTAGAAAGATAAAGAATGTTTTTAACCTGACAGAAAAAGAAGAGGAAAAAATCAACCAAACTCCTCACTCTCATGTAGTGTGTATGTGGATACGAAAGGTGCATATACCAGAGAGATAAGAAGACATATAGGCGCACGATTTAACATATTAAAGTGAGAATGTTTACTAAGTGTCAAGTATTCTACAACTTCTTATACTAGCTGGCAAAACAAACAACACGAATAGACACATAACACGAAAAATAAAACTCAATTTAAATGACACTAAGTTCTGCGCATTTTAAGCCTACGAGAGAGATAACACAAATGTGTATGTGTGGTGTAAACAACACTTTAATAAAGGCCATATAGGAGAAAAAAGAACAATAAGACATACTAATGCATTGATTTGACTAACTGAAAGATAATTGTGCAAAATTTAAAGTGAAAAAAAAGTTTATTTGTGTGAGGTAGAATTTAACAAATATATGCAGGAAAGAAAAACCCGAAGGTGGTGACAGAAAGAGAATAATAAAGACATCAGCATTTTTTCAGGTGTGTGTGTTTATTACGAATATACTTTATTGTTTTTGCTTTATTTTTCACTCCTGTATAAGAAGAAAAAGTGTAATGCATTCATTCAATTCTTTCAACAACTGAAAACATTGTTGAAGAGAAAAGCAGAAAGTAGGACAGTGGCGCAAGAGATAATAAAAACAAACCATATGGACTGTATTGAAATTCACGACAGTTCTTCACCATACACTTGGTGCATTCTAACTTCTATCTGAGTACAGTTGACTATTGTTCAAGTGTTATCGATGTTTTTTATTATTTGGTTACTTTTGAGGAATACACAACGACAATAACGATGATAAGAGCTACAAAAATAGAGAACAGTAAAAACTAAAAATTAACTAAAAACAAAAAAAGAAAGGTAGGTGACGCATAGCGCTTAAACACTTTCATTCTAGTGTGATACAACTACTGAAAGGAAGAATGAAATGAAGAACTGATAAAAACCGTCAAGGAATAAGAAGAAAAGCAGGCTCAGCAGAAGTAGTACAAACTGACGATCGGTAGTACTAATCCATCGTATAAGAGTGGAGGAAAAATGATTCTTTTTCAATTCTAAAGTAATTTCCTTACAGAAACAAGAATTAATCTGTAATTTTCGTGTGTATCCTGTGCTTTATGGTGAACTTCACTTAAATTATTACTGTGATCAGTATCATTTTCTTTTCTTTTTGGTTATAGTAATATAACTTCAGCAGTAAGAAAAGTGAGAAATTGGTTACATTTTGGCAGTAAAGTGAACACCATAGAAATATTACTACAAATATTTTCCTTAAATTACGACAGTTTCTATGTTAATAAATACATATAAGTGGCTTGAGATTCACATATTAAATAGCCAGAATGATTGTTCTACAAATTTGAAGTTGAATTGACTTATAGGTGAAGAAAAATAATAATAATAATAACAATAGTAATAAGGAAGAACATGTTGCGAACGCAAATGAACCAACCTGGATAGAGAAAAAAACCACAGAGATCTTCAGGTGTAAAAAGGTGTGACTTAAGAATGCAAGATAGAAAAAAAATTAGCCGTGACAGATGAAGTGAAGAAGAGGATAGAATATTATCATTTTTTTAAAAGTGATGATGATGACGTTGATGGATTGGAACAATAATGGTAAGTTTCGCTAAAGAACCGAAGAATACTGAAGTGTTTTTTTTTTGTTTATTCAGAAAATGCAGTAATCACTTCACGACCTGTTCCGCGTACAAGCAGAATACGTGGTAAACCCTCGGTGAGTGTTTCAATATAATCCATATAGTAGTATTCACTTCCCATAGTACGTGATGGCCCAGGCATATTAACGATTACTAAAGCTGACTCACTAGAATGATCTCGTAACAATTCGTTTAAGCGTACAGCACAATGTAAACGACGTTGAGTTTTAGACCTAAAGGTAGTTAAATAAATAGAAAATATGGAAATTGCGTGTTATTACATGATAAAAACAAGAAGTAAAGTTACTGTGAAAATTACCTTTCGAATGTCAGAGCTTTAAGTGGCTGTCTAGTATTTCCGAGCTTAGTTTATCTTTGGATAATATCGGTTTGTGACAAGAGAAACTTTGGTGTGATTTCAAACTGGAGAACCTAATATCAATGTACTTCTCACATATACCATAAAGATGATAATTTTGTCACGGATCGATAGAAACGCCAAAATAATAATAATAATGATTTACTTTATTCCAAAAACAGTACTTGTGATACAGAATGGAATTTTCAGCATTAATCACAATATTGCATCTAATTTCCTCAAATTATAAATAAAAATTAATCACACAGAAAATTTTCCACATTTACAATAGGGGTAGTGTCAAAAACATGCAGCATATAAAATGGAAATAACAATAATAATGATAACAGCTAGGCTAATAATAATAAGAATACAAGTGAAAATTGCTATTGGCTTGTGTCACACAGTATTGGCAATGTATCATGGGCCATTAACTCCCTTTCAAGTATCTGGAATCGTTACGTAATCCTGTGACTGATTCGAAACTCGGTTCTTTGAGTGGTCGAAGGGAAAAGGGTTGCGTTTTACATATGAAGCATTAAATAGACCGTAACTAGGAATTTCCGCTTAGTGTTTCACAGGAAGGCAACAAATGAATCTCGAAGTAATACATTGTGTACAGTTTCTCATAGCTCCGCCTTCAGATGAAAACTATTTGATCGTTGATACCATTAATAGACGAAAATGCTAGGCTTATGCTTGTTTGTTTCAATGTGCTAAATGAAAAATGTGTTGCTTACTATTTGATCTACAGTATTATTAAGAATCATAATTATCCAAATCAGGAAATTCCACATTTTCAAGTGTTGGTTTGTAGGGATTTGGTTGGTTATAGGATTTCATCATGACCTGACATTGGTTAGAGAATCATTGGAAAACCTGGAAGTACTGGACAGCTGTTTCGTTCTAGTTTGGGACTCTTCATCAATACGCACCCACCGGCAGGGTTCGAATCCAGGACCCTCTGTCTACAAGGCGAGCTGGCTTGTAGGCCACTAAGCCACTGGGACCCGATCCAATGGCCAGTCCATGAATTCTAACTTCTGCCAATTTCTGACAGAACCAGAAGGTCCTGGGTTCGAATCCCGTTGGGTGCGTACTGCTGAATGGTCCCAAACTAAGACGAAACAGCTACCCATTACTCCCAGGTTTTCCAATGGTTCTCTAACCAATGTCAGCTCATGATGAAATCCTGTAATTCCACATTTCTTCTTCTAAAATAGCTAACAATTAAATCCTTCTTCCATTTTCAGCTTTAGTAGTGAAATTTCGCTACAATTTTTTAAAATTTGTATTTTAAAATATGAAAGTTATAATTTTCATAATCACTCACTTTGTCATATTCCCACCAAGATTTTCACCTATCAGGATGAATTCATGTTTTTATGCTTAGTGCTTTAACGAAGCGATGAATGGGTCGTCCGAGGGTGATATGGAGGAGATCATCATGTGGCGAGAAGGAGATGAGAGATTATGATCAATCGTGGACTCAGCTGAAGATGACAGCACCAAATAGAACAAAGCGGAGATGTGCTGTTGAAGCCCTATGCTCCACTCGGAACCCAAGAGAATAACAACAATAATAATGCCTTAACGATTCACTTCTATGCGTATTTCAACTTATCTCTTTTTCTTACTCTCAAGCATAGGTACACCTTTTATTGGGTTTGAAATGTTCCATTATTATTATTATTATTATTACTGTTATTATTATTATTCCTACTTTGTATTTATGTTTCCGAGCATGCTGATGCGAGACCTTGATTGTGCTTCAGTTGGTTATAGTGTGTCATTGTTCATTTATTGTTTACTATAATCTGTTTAATACTGAGGTGGATAACAGTTATCTAGTTAGTTAGGACTCAGTTACCCGGTACCGGGTTATAAACCAACAGTTATTGTAACAGAAGGGGAGACGGATAATAGTACTCAGTTGTCTATGATGTAACGACGAGTTGGGTGTTCAGTGGTGATGTGAAAGAGATCGTGTGAGGGGAAGATGAGAGTCGATAGGCAATCATGGAGTCAGCTAAAGAGGACTGCAGAAAACAAGGATGAAATGGAGATGTGCTGTTGAAGCCCTATGTTCCCGTAAGGGAACCTAAGGAAATAATAATTATAATTCTATGTAGGCGAAACGTAAGTAAAAATTTCATTAATTTCTGGATGAAATAATCTTGGCGGCTAGAAAGTCGATTGGCTAGCTGATATAATGTCACACTAATTTACACTGACAGATTTGTGAATTTAACCTTTAGGAAAATAAAACACATACTCGTTGTTCAGTTATACCAGACTGCAGTGATTGTACTGTCAAATGTTTATCACTGAAGATTAGTTAGTATACTATTCGAATGATTAATTGCTGGATTTCTGTTGTTACGCAACCTGGAAATACAACTGTGAAATTATTATTATGATTATTATTATTTTTGTTACATAAAATCAAATGTTTAAAATGTCTACACATGTTGGTCATTGTTTCATGTACGTGGTGATCAGGTGTTTCGAGAATAAAAAAATGTGGATGAAATAAGTATAATGTTTTTCAATATTTACTTCCTTTACACCGATTAACTGATGTCGCATGTGACTAGGAAAGATGGTTTTCTTAGTTAATAGTCTAAGCAGCTTCGTTTACCTGGCCAACCTGGGTGTATAGGCGCATTACTTATGATTTACTTGGGATATCAGGTAATAAATTACCAATACTTTTCTGAGCTATTTGTCGAACTAGAAGTATGAATCAAGTAGAACTACCTTACATATTGTGTGAGTGTAGCCAACAAGAGATGAAGTTTCTTCCCAACTGTCATTGTGCCCTTATAAATGTAATACTAAAAGATATTTCACTGTGGGTTGTCAGACAGAGCTAAGAATGAACCAACAGGACCTTGAAGAATCAACGTGACTGCCTGGTTATTATTTAATTATCCCCATTTCTAAAAATTCAAACAAGCTGTATAAACCTCATTACTGACCGACAATGCTACTACTGTTCTATCTCATCCTTTTTTTCCAGGTTTCATTCTTAAACGAAAGTTTAAAATAACTTGTTTCAATTCTTATTGGTTGGTTTTAAGGTCGTGTGAATGGTTATTGGCTATAACTATCGTATTTCAGTTCCAGGCGTATCAATACTTCGTATGAACCCTACTATTGATGACAAAATGAATAACTCATCAGGTTGTCTGTATAGATGTTATCAAAAGTGATATAATTAACTACCCTGTTTATAAAAATTAATACTCAAATGAATCTATAATAACAATCGATACAAATTGATGAAAAAAAGGAGTAAATATACAAGCTTACATTTTTCCTGAATGTCTTTTATTCGATGGACTTTCACCTTTTGGTCCTGTCTTATCATCATTACTATTAGCAGCTTGTTTTGCAGCTTTCTGTACCATTTTGTTTAAAGGATAGGATGGTGAAAAGGTGAATTCATTTAAACCACGATTGACTTCAGCTTGGTTATCTTCATCATTCTCTGTAGGATTGTTGTCCACCTGATCAACTTCACCGACTGTGACAGCTGAACCAGTTGCAAATGATACAGTACACTGTGCATGATGATTTGACATAGGTTTATTGTTTAATTCATTATCTGATTTCAGATTAGGTGATTTTACACAGGCTTTTGCAGCAGAATCATTACTACTAATATTCGTTACATTCTAAGAGAGATTAATAATTCAAAATAGAATATTTTATTTAGTTTAATATTTATTTATTCATTCATATTATGTAGAATGCTATCATAACACAAGTAATGTGTACTGTGAAAAAGAATCACTTAGTTACCCTATTTTTTAAAATGTGTACAATCCTGAGAGAGAGGAATCTATCCCTTTTATATTGCACAAGAAGAAGTAGAACACTTATGGTTTATCAACAAGCATTCAAACGTTAGTGTGAATTACTCCCAACTTCTACACTTTGTATAAATGAAAGTATACGACAAGAATGTAGAATAGCATCTAGGTGATATATCATTGTATTTCTCATGAATAAATAGTGCATATGTATCTAACACATTTTGTAATTCTTCATTCCGTATATAATTAACTGTTACAGGTTTGATCATGAGCTGACATCGGTTAAAGAACTAATTGAATACCAGGGAGTACTGGATAGCTGTTTTATCCCACTTTTGAACTAATCAACAGCACGCACCAATCGAGGTTAGAACCCAGTTCCTTCCAGTTATAAAGTGAGCTTGTAGGCCATTGAGCTTATGAATTGAAACTCCTACCAATGCGCAGTGTATATGGCGTTAAACTTTATTTTTTTCAGAAGCGAATTTATTCTAACCGACAGTGCATCATGTGAAGAAAGCGTTGACTGAGTCTCTACTATAGTATCTTGAACTCAATCAGACCGTGAGTCAGTGCAAGATCAAATTCAAGAACTATGACACTGTAACTGTGTTATTTCTTTTCTAAATTTATGAAAATGTTTAGTAACTTATGATCAAATTCTTGAAGATTTGAATTTGTTGTGACATTAATCGTGCACTGATGTTTATCAAAATCTAGTTAAAAACTGTTGTGTACTGAATATCTAACCCAAAAGTGGTGATAAAAAGGCGAAAATGTACATAGCAGTCTGAACAGTCTCAACCGGATATCAGTAAGCATCAGGGGTATATAGGAGTGGACAATATTGTCATTATTTATTATTTGCTTGAGTTCCGAATGGAACGTAAGGCTTCAGTAGTTCATCTCGATTTCATCATGTTCTCTGCAGTCCTCTTCATCTGGTCTTACGACTACCCAGAAGGTTTCATCTCCTCATACTATCTCCTCGATTTCACATACTCAGGGGCCCAACACGTTTTCCAATCGAGCTCCACCCAAAGGCCTGGTATTCGGTGTTATTCAACAGTCTTCTTAGCGTGTGTTCGATGCATCTCCATTTCCTTCGGCTTATTTTTGAGCAATAAGTACTTGGCTGATTCGTTGCTGGAGTTCCTTATCACTTATACTTTCTGGTCATCTGACATTGAGTATCGAACGATGGTTGAAACCTGCTCGAAATGCTTTCAGTGACACGTCAAAAGTCTTTGAACCATATGGGGGATGCAATCACCAACTTGACATTAGTGTTGAAAATCTGAATCTTGTTCTTTATGCTGGTTGAAACAGATTTCCAGACTGATTTCCGAGTAAAAAAAAATGTTTGTCTTGCTTTTACATTCCTAACTTTAACATTCTAATTCTTGCTAACTGTTGTACAAATAAGTAAAAGAAGCGACTGCGTTCAAATTCCTTTTGTTGATAGTGACTGATGCCTCTTGTTGTTGGTTAGTTGGTTATCTTCATTACCCCTGTATCTTCTATATGTTAATTTGAAGTCCTTTCTTGACTTCTTCTTCTTCTTCTTTAGCCAACTTGTTGGTTTTCGCTTGCAAGTCTTCGAGTTTGTGTGACATTACAAATAAATCGTTGGCAAAGTCCAAATCTTCTAGAGTCTTCTTATAAATGGACAATGACAGGAACAAATCGATAATTTTTTGCACATGTAGGAAGAATAAAGTGTTTACTCTGGTTAACGAGTAGAGGTATAAAATGTTTCGTCTATGTATGCATACATGCATGCATATCCTTGTGGTGGTTTTTGAACTGCTTTCTGTGCATACACAAATAATTTTCAATAACAACTACTAATAATAACTTTATACACAATCGTATGCTTAGCTTTCATTTACAGACGATATCAATAGGCGAACTAGAATTTCAAGGTTTCAGTTAATATTTTAGAAAAGAAATTAATCAAGAAAGAAATATTTGTTACCATTCAGCTGGTTAGGTACCTGTATGAATTTAATAGCAAACACTAGTGAATAACAACAACATCAGTAACGACTGTCAGGGTCTTCTCACTTTACACGATGATGAGGAGTAAGTAGGTTGTGTTTAGTTAGACTAAATGCTTATATCTGTTCAAATATACAATTATAAAAATATGACCTATGGTAATAAAGACCGCATTGTAACATGACCAGCGTATAACTACTAAGTCGGCAGAAGCAACTACCTGAAGTGGAAAGAATGATCAAAACAGAAGTAAAGCACAAGAAGCACAGTAACTTATTCTAAGAGGCTTAATTTGTAGAGGTAAGAGCATGCATCTGAAATAATGATTGACTTCACGTCTATGGAGCGATAATGCAATCAATGAGTAAATGGGAACAGGAGAATGGGTTAGTGCCTTGTGACTTTTAGCAATTAGGTAGATAGCTTCTGCAAAATAATTAACTAAACTATTGAATTGAATTTTTTGCACAAGAGGTGGCTCTCGTGGCCCAAGTGGTCTAGTGGATAACGCTTTGGCGTTTGAAACTATGGGCACCGGGTTCGAGCCTCGGTGGGAACATCATCACTCACTGAGAAATGCAGGTACATCCAGCTGACGAGTCCCAAATAGGACGAAATGCGCATCCTGGATTCCACTGCTAGCCACCATCCACCAATTGTAAATTAACTAAACTATAAGATGGAGAAGATTTGTTGCTCAGGTGGACGACTTTGATGTAGTTGTGTTCTATGAGCTGGATGGTTTATTTAAGAAGCTTTCATTACCCTACTAGGCAAAATATTCAGTGCATACTTCAATTTGAAGATTTCACCTGGTAAGGCAATGAAAGCTTCGCAAATTAACCGTCCAGCTGAGAAAACACAATTACATCAAACAAAAAAACACAACTAAATTATATTACATAATTGAGCTATCTACCCACATATGACTTAAAATTACATCGTCATATTCTGCTTCACATCAATGCTTAGCTGTCCACTCTGTGAGAAAATGAATAACTTCTTCATTATAACTATAGCGGGATGTCTGTTCTACATAAATACCATTGACATACAGTTGTTCAATGTCAAGTTACTTTAATTTCGAAACTCAGAATTCTGTGTGAACGTCTATGAATATGGCCGATAGTTTAAATAAGTCTTGCAGTATGAAATTTATTCCTTCCTCATAGTTTGAAAACTAGAATGTACTATAGTGATTGTTGGGTAATATATATATATATATATATATATATATATATATATATATATATATATATATATATATATAATTGTATGCAGTTTTCTATTTAAATCATATTTCTATTAAAGATAAGAGCTGATGACTTACTGTTTCATGGTCAGGTGATTGATCCGAACTTTCAGTTGACGTTACTGATATAGCTGGTAATAGTTTGTGTGATTCATTTGAACAGTTTGACTTAATAATATCCGACTGGAATATTTCCGCTGAACTTGGCTTACGATGTTGATCGACAATAAGCTGTGGATCACAACGAGCTTGTACATTGGAGATTTTCATTTGCATAAGCAAAGCTCTACGTTGTTCAATGCTAGCTGTACGTTGGGCAACATAGGCTGATATATCAGCAGTACTCTGGATAAAAATAAAAAAAGGAATTTACACAAAAATGAAGGCGGTTAGTCTTATGCAAACAATACCAGCTAAACAATTCAAGTGAGAATCTCCTGGCAGCTAATAATGCCTTTATTTCTACGCGTTGGAAAGCAGAATTTTTACCAACCAATAGTAGTTATAACACACCCACTGAGAGAAAGTACAAAAGGAGAGTGGAATTTATGGGGAGACAATCAAATAAATTATGCAGTGTATACGAACTAGTATAACCGCCTATAATTGTAATTCCTCTCAACTATTCTGTGATATGACTGAATCTGTTGCCTATTAGTCTTAATGATAGTAGGCTATGAAAATAGTTAATAGGAAATTCAGTAATCAATAGCTTTAATGACATGAATAAATTCAGAGAACAACATTTCCTATGAACAGTTGTCACACCAGTTTACTTATAAAATAACGTCTGCACTCTATACTACTTATTTGTTTGATAGTAAAATGATGAATAAACCTAAAACATTACAATGTATCAATCGTTTAAATGGCAGTCAAAACACCACTATGGAATACAATACATAAGTCAGACCAATCGGTTGTACTTCCAGATAAATTTTCAGGCTATTCTATACATACCTTTAGCTTTTAACGCTGATTTTCGGGCTGAAGATATAAAGATCTGTGTCTATAGACACTTTTCAGTACATGTTAGTACGTATATGAACTTTGAACAAGATTTGACACCAATTAGTTTTGCAAGATGTGACTGCCCATTTACATAAGCCTTTGATGTTTCTAACTCTCATTATTTCTCTGAAGAATTTATGCGATGGATTTCTGGATGAAACTCTGAAGTTATCTGTTTGAATATCGTAAAGATTCCTACTAAATATGATTTTTACATTGTTAGTAACTGCAAGTGTGATTAGTTCAATGAGAAATCTGACAAAAGCACATGAAGAGACCATCGATATGCAAATCATCTCTGGCTTTCGTCTAGTTGTACCACTATTCAGAAGTCGAGTATGCTAGTTGACAGGGTTCCCTTTTTTCTACATGATATTGGGACATGACCATCAAATCTAAAGAGTATAAGGAAGTTTAAAGTGTTTCACCAAGTATAACTGCATAGTGTTGCTTGTGTCTTTGATAAAGCCATCGACAAAGTTATTCAGAGGTCTTCCGTAAGACTGGCAAGCAAACTGACCAAGTTATAATTTTGGATCAAAAGAAATGGTTGTTACATAAGTTTCACATGCCTATCTAGAGTTTACTAAGTTGGTCAGATTCAGAGTTATAACAGATGATGAAGTTAATGACTGAGTTTCTGAATTACGTAGGGCAATATGAATTTAGTCTAACTGAAGTTGCTAAATTGGGTGGAACCAATAGTTGAGGTCCTTACATGTTACCACTTAATCGATTATATTTCTCTAAATGAATTCGTAACTTATTTTTACGTAGCTTTTAACATCAATCTTTTCATTTGAGTTATCTTTTTCTTACTCTGTCTTCGGGTAAAGTACAAAGTTTAACGTTTTATTACCTCCTGTTTGATGTAGAGACTTGGGATGGTTAAAATAGACCATTAAGCAACAATGCTAAGTTCGAATCCCGGTGGGTGCGTACTGCTGAAGAGTCCCAAACTAGAACGAAACAGCTGTCCAGTACTCCCAGGTTTTCCAATGGTTCTCTAACTAATGTCAGCTCATGATGAAATCCTGAAAACAATGCTAAGTCTTTGTTTGGTAATTGCTATATATGACACTTTCAAAAGGAAGTCTAAAAATGATAATAAAACTTCAGTGAAGTTTCTAAAATTAAAATCTTGTGAAAAACACAACATACCATTGCGACTACATCCACAGAAGCATGAATTCTCAAGTCATACATAAATTTGGTCATATCTTTCTTTAGATTTACAGTATCATCATCTTCATTGGCCACAACAAAGACACGTAAATGACATTTGCGCCATACACGATTACGCATAAGTAGATATGATGTCAAAAGTAGTAAACCACCATCATGTACAATGCACCAAACATCAACATTTCCAGTCATTTGAATACCTTTACTCAATGGGAATGAATCAATGCCTTTTGGTACTAACATTGCTACATCACATGCTTGTGCAGCTCTCAGTGTTGCTGTAAAATTCAAAAATATCCAGGAAAAGTTAATAAGCATTTCACCCTTAGAAAAATTGGACACAAGATTATAAAACATCCTGTTACAAAGAATGATAACAGTTAGACGACATGTACTAATTACTTCTAAGAATAAAACTATCCATCATTAGAATCACTTGAAAAGAAAATAGGAGTGAGTAATGTTCAGCTGCTTTACGTTATATAGAATATTATTGCTATTATAAAGGAGTTACGAATTTTAAATATTATAAGCTACAATCAACGAAAGCGTTTTCACTTCCGGACAAAATACACGCTAAATACAAAACCATTAAAGAGTAGACTGTGTCAATAAAGTAACCATCATAAAATAACTCGAGACAAAATGTCTGTGTCTACTGAAATTAAAGATAGTGAAATTTATGAGAAATTATAACCGTAATGATTAGGAGATATAGCAAAAAGAGTCAACATATATTAACGAATATTACACTTAAAACGAAATCAGTATGCAGTATGCATTATGGGAACCTTATTCACGATGGGGAATATATAAGTGTCGATTAGTATTGATATCAAGTGTACCAGTACATGCGAATGGACGTAGTGCTTTGTCGGCCAACAGTTTTCTCTTGTTACAGTCTCTTCCAGAATTCTCCTGCTGCTTAAATGAACCATAACATCACTACGAGACTAATAAATTTATTTACAGAAAGTTATTAATAGATTAGATGCAGCAGATCTATCGATAGCTGGTCGCACGCATGCTCATTCCTACATGTATTTACTTACGGCTTCTCCCATTGCCTTATTTCTAACCTCTAGCGTTAAAGTATTAACCATACGCAGCCAGAAGTTGTCTATATATAGAAGTGAGAAAATTAACTTCTTTCTTGAAAATAAAACTTTTCAAACAATTTTCAGATTATCTTACTTTATTCAACAGTTTACTCCATGTGATTAATACAAAAACCTTTTTTAAAAAAACTAAGCAGAAAGATTTTATCTCATTTTCTAAAAGCAAAACATTGAAATGATCTCTCGAAAGAGCGAACTAGCGGTCATTTTTTAGATGAAATTTCCGTCTGTTTATCCCATGTAAATAAATTCAAACTATGGAACGGTATCTAGACAGATAGAGTAACCCTTGAGTAGAGTCAGATATTCTCTTTCGATGATTATTTCCAGTGAAATTCAGAATGTACATTTAACGTGATTAAGCTTAATTTCAAACATCACAATGCCGGTAATAAATTTGTTCGACAAGTTTCAAAACGAATCAAAATAGGCATCATGAAGTTGTCTATTTACCATAATAATTTGCAAAGAATAAATTCTTTCTAATTATTTATTTCTCTATCCATTATTTACACCACAAAACAATTGTTGGCGAATAGGATAACTGTATGACATACACTACACTCGTAGTATAAATTACACTTTTGACAATGAATTGGAAATCATAATAAATAAACTTTGGATTTTCACTGCATAATTTAAGGGGTAGTTAACCTAACTTAAATCAAATAAATTATCTACACAAAACACCAGTTTCATTCAGTGCTGCCATTAGAAAAATGAACGATTAAACCATTTTACTTAGGGTCACGATATATATATATATATATATATGCATCGTAACGCTGAGTGATGATGATTATAAACAACAATGGTAATTATCGCAAGAAATAAATAATAGTTTGCTTGGAAAATACATATTTATCAGCTGTATAGTAGCTCTTAAATACAAACACAAATTCTGCAAAATTCCACAAGATTTTCACCTACTTGTACAAAGTCTAATTAATTAAACAAACACCACAATACACAATGTAATCAATAGTAGTTATTCCATAGTTCTGTTGTGCTTTATTCACTGGATTCAGTGTAAAGTGAAACTTTGGATGGTAAATAATTGTAGTCTTTTCATAAGGGACAAAGATGCACATCATGTCAACAACAAGCATTATTCAGGAGAATGATAGTGTTGAAGAAACTTTTTCAATAGTCTAGTTATTTTATATCCACCTAACTAGGGCAGTGAATATGTTCAATTGGTTCGTATGTTGAACTGTTTAGCTAATAAAGACTGAAAAGGAACTGATTAAAACACTTCTCTATAGTTGATTCGTAAGGATCAGTTTTGTTTTTACGAGTTGATCACGGATTGATTGACAGGGGTTCGAACCCAAGCTCGTATACCATTCAGCCACAGCTGTCCAGTACTCCCTGGTTTTCAATGGTTCTCTAATTGATATCACTCCTTGGTCAACTCGTAAAACACTTTAAAAGAACCTGTCTCAAAGTTTTTAGTCGAAATTTCAATCATCAGCCTCTAGTATCGATTAGGAGAAAACAAAGAAACTTGAAAATGGGATTATTTGAATTATAGTCTAAGAAAAAATAGTTACTAGTGTATCAGCTAAATAAAATATAGATCATATTTCGGTTTCAGACACCTTTACTACATGAGAGCAGTACTTAGCTGAGCTCACAGACTACTGAATATTATTTGTGTAACTTTTAAATGGTGTAAAGTTATTATGTTACGAGTTATGCATACTCTAATCACACCTGTTATTTCAAGGATGCCGTGAAATTATAAAATTGCTGAAAGAAATATTTACTTTTAAGCATGATAAAATTATTCAATGAAACTCATGGCTGAACCTAGCACATAAGTTTTGAGGTTAATATAAAGATGTTTTAAAATCATAGAACTTACATATAAACTTTGATAATTTACTTCCTTTACGTTTACAATCAACACGCCAATCTTCAGGGAATGAAACCATTAATGTGTTGTGGCGAAGATTCCCGAGACCAGCACACTGTGCCCTTTATTTTTATGATTTATTTAAAAAACAAAATAAAATAAAAGTTGGGAAATAATTAAAATATCCAACAAAAAATATTTCCAGTGAGAATTTAGCTATAAAACATAATTATTCAGTTGCATAAATTAATTTAAAACAGTAAAAAACCAGAATAAAATTGTAATTTCAAAGTGGCGCAAAAGGCTGGTGAATGTCTCAAACCCACATGCTTTCGCAGTTGAATAAATAGTTGAGCATTGTGAGTGGAGATGAAGAACAAGTGAAAAATTCCTCACATTAAAGTTCATATTTTTTTTACTGAACGTATACCTAGAAAGCAAGTCATTTCGACTGGAAATAGAATTCACAAAAATTAAATAATCAATCACTATGTGTAATCTAAAAATTCAGTTTTAAATTAAATCAAGATAGATGCCACATTTACAAATTACTATTTAATATTCAACATTAGTTAACGCCCTTGTTAACCTCTTGATGTAAGTGATAGCCACAGTTGTATTTATGTAACATTTTATTAGTTTACTTGAATTGAATAGAGGATACGAGAATCGTTAACTTCAAACAATTATTCTAGGCACATCATAATAATGACTAACTGAGGGATAAGCGTCCCAAAGTTGCTATAGGTATTCACCGATGACAGTGAAAAGTATACAATGAACTACACGAAGCCCCAAAATAGTAAAGTAACAGACTTTAACTAATCGATTCTCTTGTTAACACACCCACCATAAGAACTAAAAATCTTGAATAGCATGATACGTTGGATGGAATTGTGACCGTACGCTATTGAACAGTAGCAACGTATGGTGACAGACATCTATTGAATTTGGGTTTTCTCTGATGATTTCTTAGATTAAGTCAATATGTGGTCAAAACTGTTGTCAAATAATTTTTTTCAGAAATTTAAAATATACAGTAATTTAGTAGCAATTAAATAACTTGAAAGCTGTAAAACTGAAGGGAATAAAGTGAAAAAGGGAAGGCATACCGATGTAACACATTTATCTTGAAAAAATTACACATTTACTCTTCAACTACTCAAAAGATTGTACTATTTACACCTAGAATACTGTGATCTAAACATTTCTATCGCTGATCCATCTTTCTACTGTTCTTTTATTTACGTAAAATTAACTCAGTAGTATGTTTATTACAAAGGGAAACATAGTAAAACAGTAACATAAATCTGCATTTGATGTACAAGTGTTTGTATGACTTCTGAGAAGTGTTATCATTTACACGAAACAGTATAGACCAGTAAATAAATATTCCTTATATCAGTTTGAATAGTATGGTTCACTAAGTGCACGACGAAATCGTTGACTAATTATTATCCTTCCAAGTGCTGTTCAGTAGGGATTTCATCAATTTAAAAGAGAATTTCTCCAAGGAAACAACATCAAGTAGACAATCGATGAAAACTAGGTGGCACTTCAACAGCTTTCCCATCTTAGTAGGGGATTCTTCGACAGTACACATTCATGTCTGTCTGTCTGTTTTCGACATAGAACTTTGCACAAATGTGCGGAAGTTCAAGTCGCCACATTCCGTGTAGCACGCGAAGCAAGAGAAGAAAGTACAAGAAAAGCATAATAGAAACAGTGAGCAGAGGTGTGAGACAAAGGAGTAATAAAGAAAAACAAAACAGTTTCATTGGAGATCATAAGTCACAAGGAGTGGATGCATCTGCGCCACTGAGAACGATTTTGAGCCATGTCACCAATTGTTTCCAACCATAGATTTTTACCGTCCCGAGGACCCCAGCCTGGAAGTCTACACCTTCCTACGTGGCTTAGACCAACTGTTGTGGATTTCATTGACTGATGCCAAGTTTTTGTTTGACCGCCGCTAGCTTTTTTCCAGCCTGACCCTATATCCGCTAACATTGCTCGTCGAGGGAGGCGATGGCTTGGCATACGTAACACATGTCCTAACCATCTCAGTCTTTGTAGCTTCACGACTTCGTCGATTGATTTCCCCTGTTTACCTAGAACTCTACGCCTAACCTCCATGTTGCTCACCTTATTATGCCACTTTACACGGGAAATAGAACGCAGGCACCTATGATCAAAGACAGCTAGTCTTTTCATGTCTTCCACTCTCAGTGGCCAGGTCTCACAACCATAAAGGAGGACGGAGCGGACTGATGAGCAGTACACCCGCCCTTTGGTCGATAGTCGAACATCTCGTCTACGCCAGAGTCGGCGTAAACTAACAAATGCGAAACGAGCCCCTTGTATTCGTGCTGAGATTTCGTCAGAGATCAGCCCGTTGGCAATGGCTGATGGTACTTCCCAAATAAGTGAAGCGGTCAACGTGCTCTACCACTTCACTTCCTATTTTTAAACTAGGCGTCGATGTAGTCCAGTCCTGTAACATCATCTTGCATTTGGCGGGAGCGAATCGCATGCCAAACATTCGTAGATTGCGGCTCAAGGTGTTTAGAAGACTCTGCATTTCGTCAGCGTCTTCGCCTAGAAGGACTATATCGTCTGCATATTCCAAGTCAACGAGATTATTCCCCGGTAGCAAGTCAATCCCTGAGTCGCTGAAGTCACCTAGGGTTAAGTCCATTAACACATCTATGATGAAGTTGAATAGAAAAGGGATAATGGGCATCCTTGACGGACACCACTGGTCGTCATCAGTTCAGATGACAGCTCGCCGTAAGCCCTCACCTGGCTGTATGAGTACGAGTAGAGTGCCTTAATCAGTGCAATATATTTTCTCGGAATTCCCTTTACAGCCAAGCATCTCCAGAGAACTTCTCGATCGACAGAGTCGAATGCTGCCTTTAGGTCAAGAAATATAATGACTGTTGGACGCCGGTAGGAATGCCTATGTTCTAGAATCTGTCGGAGGGTGAAGATATGATCAATACACCCTCTTCCTGGTCTAAAGCCTGCCTGGCTCTCTCGTGTTTGTGCTTCCCGAGCACCACTCAGTCTACGCATGATTATTGAGCCTAAGACTTTAGATACTATATTAGTCAAGCTAATCCCTCTGTGATTATCACAGGAAGACTTGTCTCCCTTCTTGTATATGGGGATAATCAGTGACTTACACCAACCCGATGGGACTTCTTCTGATTCCCAGACGCTGCCTAGTACCTCAGTTAATCCGGACAGTAAGCTGTCTCCACCGTACTTAAATACCTCTGGAGTCATTCCATCAGGTCCCGCTGCTTTGCCTAGTTTCAGATTGGTGACAGCTTTAGTAACCTCAGTTAGTGACGGAGGACCTGTGTCTATATCCCATTCAGGGAGGTGTTGGATGCTCGGAAGGTTGAGCGTGGCTGTGGGCAAATTAAACTGCTCCTCATAATGCTCTTTCCAACGATCCAGTCGTCTATCCTGGGAGCTAATTATAGTGCCATTTTTTTCCGAGATTGTCTCACTAATGATTTGTCTTCTCCCACCCGTTTCCCTGATGAGTCCAAAGAGTTGCCTGGTGTTGCCTATCCTCGAAGCTTTCTCCATCTCTTTGGCTTTTGTCGCCCACCACTGTTCACGGTCCTTGCGGAGACTTTTCGTAAGTTTCCTCTTGTGCAGCTTTCGCTCCTCATTGAATTCGGAGCTCGCCGGAATAAGTCTTCTAGCATCTATCAGTTCGGATGAGGCGGTGGAGATCCAGTGGTTTTTACTCACCTTTGGGTTTACCTTATTCACAGCTTTTACAGCTGTATCTATGGCTGCCTGGATATTTTTCCAAGCTTCTTCAGGGTGAGCACAGCTGTCGAACACAGATATGTGTTTAGCTAGTTCTTCCTCAAATACGGATTTAGTTTCCTGATCGAGCTGGGGACGTGATGGTTTTACCGCCAGCTGTTTCCTACGTCCGTTCAGTCGTAAGCACACCCGAGCGCGGACCAGTGCATGGTCGGTATCTACGCACGTGTTCCAGAAGGAGCGACAATCTCCTACCGACCCACGCCAACGATAGCTTATTGCTATGTGGTCTATTTGTGTCCAGCGTTGGTTTGATGAAGGGGGTCTCCAAGTCAAACAGTGTCTCTCCTTGTGTTTGAAGTTAGTGCTTACAAGAAACAAATGATTATCAGAGCAGAACTGTAGGAGACGGTCACCGTTGTCGGTTCGCTGGCACGGAACTCCATAGGTGCCACCGACATCCTTCTCAGATTGACACAATTTCCCTACTTGAGCGTTAAAGTCACCAGCTAGAACGACTATGTCTGAGCGTTTAGCCTTTCCACCAAACTAGACAGCTTTTGGTAGAACTCATCCTTCGTTTCATCTGAACTGCAGTCAGTGGGGGCGTAGGCGGAGATTACGAAAAGGCATCGGCGAGTAGTGCAGTCCTTCCTCCTTCTTACTGATCCGTTCAGGCGGACAGCACACATTCGGCTATCTACCGGGATCCAGTCAAGCAATGTCTTTTCTGCCCTAGTACTCAAAGCTATCCCTACGCCAGCTAATCCTCGTGAACTAGCTGTGGCATCTCCTGACACCCTCAAGGTGAATTTTGCAGATTCAACCTGTTGGCCAGGTGGGGTTAGGTGAATAACCACACTTGGGTCTTGTATGCGTGTTTCTGAAACACAGCATACATCAATGGCTCGTGATGCCAGGGTCTTGGCTAGTGATGCTTGTTGTCCTATTTGGCAAAGTGTCCTAACATTAAGAGCTCCTATATGAAATTGGTGGCGCGGCTTTAAGAGGCTGTCGGTGGTGGTTTTTTGGCTTCCATCGTTTTTAGTGGACGCAGAGTGGAGAGGAAGTGGAGAGCTATCAAGTCGAGGAGTTGCATCAGTGGAAGGAAGGCAAGATGATAGAGATGAAGATGAAAACAAAGATGAGTGAGTTAAGATTATCTATGCAGGTTTATCAATTGCATTCTTCATACAATTTCCTCTTTGTGTATTATTCCATCACACCAGCAAGGAAATTAGCACGTGTCACCGTCATGAACACTGGAACAGTCACCAGACAGCAATATAAAAGTGTTTATTTAATGTTTTCCATTGAATTAGAGTCGCACCCACATAATATGACACTCTGTTTATAGAATAACAGTTAAGCGTTCAGATATATAATTATCTGTCAGAGTACAGAAGTGCAAATTATTACCAGCTTGCATTTATTCACGCAACCCATTTTATACAGCGCATAAATCTCAATGTATTTCTGAAATCAAATTATCTTTCTTTCCATACAAACAGATATCTTCTATAATGCAATCTTGACCTATTAATCAATATATAACAGATAGTTATCGCCAACTCTCTCGCTCTCTCTCTCTCTCTGCATATCTTTCCTTGAATTTCCTGTACTGACTATTTTTCTTGCAACAAAATTGATGAAATATATAACTTTCGTAGAGTCAATATCTGTAAAATAAAATTAAATACGAGTTGTTTTCCTGTTTTTCTCATTCACTCAAATGTTTGTTACATTTTTTTTCTCATTTAAAAGAAGAAAATTTACAGTATGATAAAACTGAGCATGTGCAAACGTATTGAATAAATGTGCATAACAGAAATGTTTTACTGACATTTGGAATATAACTTTCATGGGATCGAATACGTATTAATTAAGCGGAGAAAATAACTTAACGTATTAGCTTGCATAATAAAGGGAAGAGAAGAAGAAGAAGTGACCGTTAACTACCACATTATTTTTAAGTTGTAGTAGTGAGAAACATGTATATAAAAGAGCCAACCCACAACTATAAAATAATCATTGAAGACGATTATTGAACTACTGGTGCTGGAGCTTTATAGTCCTTAGGCGGAAGTAGGCTTCATGAATGCTGGTGTTTAGTTGAATAGAGATTTATATTACTGTTCGATCAGACAAAGACTATGCTGAAAACAATATGCCACGATATCCTGCCATTTTATATTGCGGCGGAATGATAAACACATTGAAGATGCTCACTAGCGACTTGCCCCATTCAGCTAGGCAGTTACCTGGGGTCGTGGCCAGTAGGGTGCAGCAGGTCGGGTGTAAGGACGAATACTCGCTGAAGACATTGCCTAGCGGTTGCCCTATATCGTGAATTGGCAGAAGTTAGAATTCATGGACTGGCCATTGGATCGGGTCCCAGTGGCTTAGTGGTCTACAAGCCAGCTCGCCTTGTAACCAGAAGGTCCGGGGTTCGAAACCTGCCGGTGGGTATATACTATTGAAGAGTCCCAAACTAGGACGAAACAGCTGTCCAGTACTCCTAAGTTTTCCAATAGTTCTCTCTAACTGATGTCAGCTCATGATGAAATCCTGTAATCAATCAACCAAATCCCTACAAACCAACACTTGGATTGAAGATCTAGTAGTTACAATAGTTGTATAGATTTCACTGACTTGTATTGCTTGTCGGCAGTCAGGAATATATTTTAGAGGGTGATGAAACACGTTACAGCAATACTCAACCGTTAGTTGTGTCAAAAAAAGCTATAACTATTGTTCATTTTGATCAGAACTAGCCTGAATTATGACTATGTAAATATACAAGCTAGATTATAAACTAACAGAGTGACAAAGTTATGAAATAGGATAAGCAAAACTACTATTTGGGAACTTTTTTCCTTCTAAAAAAATACTGCTCATTTTGGAAGAATACATAACAAAACAACCATGCATACTAATATAAATTTCGTCGCAAACCGACACCAATTAGAGGACAACTAAATACCAAATGAGCTACTGTAAGGCTGTTTCGTTCTGGAGTGCGCACTATTAGGTTGGGATCAAAACCAACTACAGAAGACTCTCAATCTAAGAGAAGACAGTTATTGAGTAATTTTAGTATGCAACGTCATCTACAATCAAAATAATTAAATCTCTTGAAACCCAACCTTCGAGTATTAACTCGATAGTTTTTCTTTCACTTTGTGAAGTAAGCATTATTTTTATATCATGTTTTGCAGCTGCATCAAACACACTACTGGGAATCAAAGAATGGAATAAACGTTATTCACATGCTAAGATAGTATAAAAAGAAAACGGTAAATGCCTACAAGAAAAGCTAATAATTAACACTAGCATGTATGAATTGCACATGAGTATTAATAAAATATTAGCAACATTGATTATTCCCATCATGCGTGTATCAATTATGTCAATCACTCGAGTATACACACAATAACTAGCAAAAATAGGTCCATATTGTTGTTTATACTTGCTATTTCCTGTGGATTATTTTTGTCAACTGAACTGGTCATTATATCAGCTGTCATGAAGAATGATTTGAACGAAACTACAAGTACTGGATACTGAGGTCTGTAATTTGATGTGATTCACTTCTTCGTAGATAAGTTACACTCAACAAGCAAATATTCTTTTGAGTAGAAAAGGAGTAAAGAATGTGATTCATAACACAGGCAAGCACACACGCACACACTCAAAATATAGTACATGAAAGTTGTAAAAAGGAAAACTAGAGAAGTACAAATCCTAAGCCGTATTGCATAATAATTTGACAGCAAAATACGAACGCTTTTTCTTTTACTTTTTTGTATTTGAATAAATTAGTGACAAATTAGGTTAATGTATGGATGTATGTATACAGACAGGGAAGGAAGTTTCCCAGACATGTGCGTATAACTCATTTAAGAGGTATGGATAATTGCACCTCACTTATGTAATAGCCACAATGAAATAAGAGATACATACAATTAAGACCACACACACACACACACACACACACACACACAGAAATCCAACAACCAACACAGGGAGAACTACAAATAATTGTTGTTATTTTTTTTGTTGTTGAAAAAAAAGAACCAACGACAACGCAGAACATACTATTTCATACACATCTGGACGAGATGGACATAATGAAGACTAGTTCGACAGATATCACAGATGAACACGTTCATGGGGAAAATTAGAGAAAAAAAAACCAAGGTAGATACTTTCAGAGCATTATTATTATATTCGAGACAATAAGTAACAGAGAAAGTAATCAATGGGAGGGAGAGGGGAAGCGAGCGAGAGGGGAAGAGGACAAAGACATCTCTCCTTGGATTTCTCTGTCTATCTCTCTATACTCTGTGTTTTTTTCATAATTGTCTCGAAGTGTTTCACAATCTGCATGAATAATCAAGTATTGATATAAGGGTAATTAAAACAAATAAATGGGTCTAACAATACTTATACACCAAAAAACAATGACTGAAGAATCAAAAAGAAAACAATATTAATAATAATAATACTAGTAAATACACCTCAGAAAGAGTCAAGTAAATAAATGCAGAAATGCTTTTTGTGTCGCTTATATAAATTTTTTGTTGGTTAGCAATGAAGTATGAACAGACGAGATTAGTTAACAGAACTATTATCATGTAAAAATGAATACGAGAATAATACTGAAGGTAAAACACTAATTCTCTAGTTCTGATTGTGGAAATATACACATGGTGATTTCTTTTTTTTTATTATATATTAATGATAATTTGCATACCAGGGTATAAATTATTATTATTATTAATAAAAAAAATATCCGCACACATTGCATCGCTCAGATTCTTTATTCCATCATTTAGAGTAATTATAATCAATTCTGCTTTTTTTTCTGTGTGTTGTAACATGCAAAAAAGGAATGTCTATAGAAAGTTAACAAAGAAAGTCCTCTGTGTAGGGTGCCTGCGTGAAACAGAGTAGGAAATCGAAATGACAATTATTGCCTGAGATTACCAACTTTATACGAGTTGTTAATGTTTCGTTGGACGCATATCTTGCTGTCATGTAGATAGTTTGGTTAAACTGGCCAGTAAACTTGGGATTTAAAATTGACAAATGACTTATGAATGTTAAAGACTCCAGTGGAAAATCAGTTGCAATATGAGTAGCATAATGTCACTGGCATTGAGTAACAAAGGATCGAATCCTAGAAGGAACAATTATTTCTTCAAGGTGACAGATATACCCCAATTGATGAAGGCTAAAATATACGAAATTTCCCCCTATAGAGTTATTAGTAATACTACTCAGTAGATTTCGCAGACATCAATATTCCCCCTTAAAAGTGTAAAGATAGACGAAAATGAGTAGATTATTTAGATGACTCCAACCTTTATTATCTATGAATAAGAGAAACAGAACGAGTTCATTCATAGTTAAAGTTGGGGAATGCCAACTATAAACTATCTTCACAACTCAGTCCACATTGATTTCAGCGAAAAAAAAACAAATATGCAGTCACAGAAGTTAATTTCAACCTCAAGCTTCTTAACTTATTATCTTACCGTGATACCTCTGGATTTATTTGTAGTCCTCCTAGGCATTACTTTGTATGCGCATATATATATATATATATATATATATATATAAAATTTCTTTTCTCCATTCCTACTACTATGGCGTAATCTCTTGATTCCCACCTCACTACTTAGCAGTTAGACGAAGTCACATGAAGGTAGATTTGTTCCGACCTAGGATGACAGAGATTAAACTCCTAAAACAGAATTAGTCGTTTTTTTTAAAAAAAAAATTAGATTGGGTTAGATGAAACTGAGCAGAAATTTATGTTAGATTCACGTTTCCTGCTTGCTGTTAATTTTCAGAAAGATAAAACCGTAAGCATTAGTAAAATAATTCTACCTCAGAAGTTCAAATATGTACTGATGCATAACGCAGTCGCAAATACTACCAAGTACACCTGATAGGCCATTGCATGCAAACAATTCCCCAGGCTTCTTTATATATATATATATATATATATATAAAGTGATAAAGTTTGAAGGAACAGTGTGTACATTGAGAAAATAACACTTGCGTTTAAAACAGCCAGTTAAGAAAACAAGAGACAGAGTTTATTCAAAACAAACTAACTTACATATTTTTCATGCCTTCGTCAACAGATGAGGCGACAAGTACTTCAGCTAAACCTTTGATACGATGTTCTTGAATAAGATCACTTAAATGAGCTTTAGCTGCAACCATATCATTACGTCTTTCGACAATATCTCCTTCCAAGATTGATGCTACCAATGTTAAACCTATGTTTATAAGTACACAAAAAGGGATGCATAAATATAGACTGAAATTATCCGATATATTGTTAGGTTACACTCGAATAGATTAGAGTAAATGTGTCAAAATAATAGTTCTCTCCTCATACATCCTGCGTATCTTTTAAATGACTGAGCGAAATTTCGTTTACAGCCAGGTGTAAATGCATGTATGAAAAGTAGTAAAATTTATTTGCAACTACTGTTCATTGACCTGTGTTATTAACTGTAATCCTATTCATGCAGGAATGTTATTAATATTATTACTTAGAATTAGTTTAACTTGCATTTTTTAAAGAGTTGGAAGGGTAGAGTTGAATGGGACATGATGCAATGCGCTTACACATATAGTCATATATGTATGAGTTAATTTAGGTAGTCATAGTAACTAATAATGTGCTCATGCTAATAGATAAATTAATGTCCGATATATATATATATATATATATATATATATATATATATATATATATATATATATATATATATATATATATATATATATATATATATATATATATATATATATATATATATATATATACAGAGAGAGAGATAAACACATGAACAATTTCCAACCTTCCTACTATCCACATTTATTTCTTAACTATTATGCTATTACTATTATTGTAAGCATATCCCAGTAGCAATAGTAGTGCTAGGGTCAGTTTAACTAATTTGTCACTATATTCAGTCACTGACACAACTTCCTCTCATCAGTTTGAAACAAGGTACATAGACCATCTTGTTTCATTTACCTTAACCTATGTAGTGACATGAAAAATAATAACAGCATAAAACTTATAGTGCGTTATGCTTAATTTACTAGTACACGGTAGAATAAGCACAAGTGAATATAGAACTAGATTAGTTTGAGAAGAGTAAATGAACTTATACACATACTCACTTGTACACCCACACGGAGTGAATATGCTTAGAGTGAATGCGTATATATAGAGAAAAGAGACTGTGAGAAATTTTTATTTTTACTAGCAGCCAGGCTACATGAAGATACTGGTAAGTTGTATTATCATCATTATTTACAAAACCGATCTTTAATAGCTAGCAAGTGGATAGTCACAGATTTCAAATGAATTTCCTTTTTTTTCCCTCCTCACACACTTATGAGAAAGTCAGTGTTAAATATAGTTGCGTATACCAGTAATTATATTTGTGCACTACACACTGAACTACGTTACCTATAACTTTATTTTAGCTGGAATTTAAAGACACTTCAATTAACTATTCACTTATCTTGGAAGTACACTTTGAAACACAGGATGAACGGATGAGGATGTTAAAGCCAGAATCACAAAGGCAAGATACAACTTCATCAATCTGAAATCGATTTGGAAATCTTTTGCACTCCACCTCAGCATATAAAACAAGATTCGGATTCTCAACATCAATGTGAAGTCAGTCAGTTCTTCTATAAGGGGTCAGAAACTTGCACTGCGTGTCACGAAAAGGATTTCCAATAGGCTGCAGACTTTTATCGACAGCTGACTTCGTTGGCTCCAAACTGGGCAGCCAGAAAGAATTAGCAACAAGAAACTCTGGTTGTGAACAAACAAACAAACCAAGAGCCCATCGCTCAACAAGTATGTAGGAGGAAATGGAGATGGATTGGGTATACGATGAGGAGGCCATCGAATAACATAGCTCACCAGGCCCACGAACGGAACTCCAATGGAAGGTGATGAGTGGGTCATCAGTGCGAGGATGACATAGAGGAGATCGTGTGAGGAGGAGATGAGAGATTGTGGGTAATCTGGACCCAGCTGAATAGGACGGCAGAGAACAGAACAAAGTGGAGATATCTTGTTGAAATCCTATGTTCCACTTGAAACCCAAGGGAATAATAATAATTAGTTGAGGATATCAAGCACAAACCGGCCGCCTAATCAAATAAGCTTTGCGTCAAGAGATATGCTATTGTTATACACTGTAAAGGAAGTTGATTTTTTAATTGTCAGATGTCATAGTCAGCTGACAAGAAACCCTAGACACTGAACTAGTACATATAGGTGTTCACTGCTAAACGAAGGCAAATGATGGAGATCTGAATATTTGATTTAGTACTGAAGGTAAGATTTCGAATCCTGTAGCGAAAACACGCGTAAAACCTAAGCACGGGGACTGATTGACTTCCAACATCAAACAAGTACATAGGATTATCCAAACGGTTAGAGCTCGACCAAAATCATCTTAATATATTTCAATATTTGTAAAACATGTCATGCACTGTAAGCCATTGCTAGTTACTGAAGTACATGTAAAGGGAAATTCAAAATAATTACTGGTTAAATTTTTATAATTTATGATAGAATGCAATGATAAAAAGTTTTGGAATAAAACATTAACACCCAATGATAAGGGAAGCCTACATGTACTGGTAAAACGCACAGTAGCACAACAGTTAAAACTGGATACAAATTCCTTAATTATTTTGCCTAGTTTTGCGTTATTTCACAAAGATTTTGTATCACTGCAGTGAAAAAGCTCTATTTGCTTTTTTCAATATTTCATATTTTTACACCTGAAAGTCACTTTTTTCGTAGGGAAATGAATTTGTCTAGTCCCGGCCCACAGAGATATTAAGACTGATGCCTGATTACTGTAGATGGTATGGTAATGAATACAGCATATTGTACACTTTGGAACAATAATTTGATAAATAAATAATAATTTTTCCTTCACGTTCCCAGTGAAACATGGGGCTTCAAGTTAGTAGCTTGAAGTTTCTGTAACAGTGTTTATTTTTACAGGATGGGGTTGCTAGCCTTATGCCAAACCTTCCCTCTTTACCAGCATTTTTTCTGGCTTAGCGAGGTAAAGGAGTGTGTCGGCCGGGGATCGAACCTCAGACCATGTGCATGGTCGGTGAGCGTCCTAACCTAACCGCTGTGCCACCGACGCGGAACAATAATCTGACCTTAACCTTTCCTCGAATACTTTGTATACAATATTTTACAACTTTGATTTAAAGTATATCTATTTGTGTTACCTTCCTTTGTCGCAGCCTGCTAGATGATTTACAGATATGCGGTGTGGTGATTTGCATCTCTAAACAGTACCTTCAGGCACTATGTTGATTATATCTGGCCTACTATGCTATATTTGCTTGCGGTGCTTAGAGCTACACCTTGAATTCTTTAATTTTCAACTGATATAAACAAACTTGAGAAAAAAAATATCCAACTGTATAAAAAAAATGAAGTAAGAAGTAATCTGGCATACAGCTCCCCTATTTCATAGTTGTCTACTGAGTTTTTGTGCATAAAAAAGAAGAGATAATTGTGGTTTGAAATCAAGAGTGGTAGCATATTCCATCCGCAATACTTATGTGACCAACAGAATATTTTTTTCCATTCTACTGCTCATTTAATCCATATATATATATCCTTGTTTTCCAGTAAAGAAAACAATTTAAATAACTATTTTTCCTTCAAATATTAAAATCATCTTTGTTTACTCATGGCTCATCCTAATTAATCCTCGTTCGCAAACCTTATACATACATACATAATGGATTAATAATTAATGGATTTCTACGAAGTGACTACAGTTTTATCTCATTTATTGATCGAGCAATCCATGCGAGATCCTCTCCTCCGTTCTCCAGCAGGACAAAGAGTTTTCAGAGAAGTAAAGTGTTATATTCAAACTAATAAGTTTGCATTTTAAAACACGTATTCTTTTTTTTAATCAATAATGTGCGGTTTTATCTTTTTTTGAATGCTTGTTTTGTTTTACTTTAGTCAGTAAATCCTGTTCCCTGTGGATTTTAGTTATATCAGCTCGTCCAATAACGTGATTACATGTTTGCATTCAGTTAAGCAGTGTTTACCGAGGACAACACATTTCTATTATTACTTTCATGAATCGAGAAGACATTCAGTGCAACATTCTACTGAATTGTGTTACAGTCCTGTAAGACATCAGGCTATTTTTGTTAACTCAAGCATTTATCACAATTTATATCACAAGCCGAGTTTGTGAGTAGTATATGGGTTTTTACAGAGAAATATGAAAACATTTGAGAAATTGGTGTGATAGAAGACTGAAAGTGATAACTTTTTCTATATCTTATCTTTCATCTCTGAGGTGCAAGCTATAATTCTCTATCTAGTATTGATTTTGTTCGTCTGTTCAACTATAAACATCATGTCTGCATATCACGACAAAGACTGACACAGAAATTTGCACAGAAGTGCAGCACTTCAAGTTGGCACACTTCATAGAGCACAAAAAAGTGAAGGAAAAAAATTCAAAAGGACTATAATGAGCGGAAGCGTATGGGAGGGAGAACAGTAATATGGAAGAGCATAAAGCTTTAATGGATCAGGAGATAACAAAGCATGAATAAATCTGTGCCATTTGAACCCTGTCACCAAAAGTCTCCAACCATCCCAGCCTACGTGGCACAAACCGACTGTCAACGATTTCATGGATTGGTGACAGATTTTGATTTGACCATCCTTGATTCTTTTCCAGCCTTAGTCTATGTTAGCTAACACTGCTCGATGAAGAGGGTGGTGGCTCAGCATGCGTAATACATTTCCCAGCCACTTTAATCGATGAAATTTCATAACTTCATAGATTGACTTTTCTTCTTTACCCAGCACTCTACGTATAAGCAAAATAACACATACCATATTACACCACTTAATACCAAAGAGAGAAGGTATACATCTCCTCAGATCTTCCACTTTTATTGGCTACGTCTCACAGTCGTAGAGAAGGACAGAGCAAATGGTTGCTTAGTGCACGCTTCGTTTGATATATCGCCAGCTATCACATCTTCGCCAGAGATGACGTAAGTTGGTAGATGTTACACGAGCCGTTTGAATCCAGACTGAAATTTCGTCAGTAATCAATATATTAGGACTGACACAACTTCCCAAATAAGCGAAGCGATCAATACCATTTGAGTAATTGTCACTCTTGTAAAAGAGCTTTAAGAGTGAATGCTGATTGAACAGTTCAACAGATACTTCAGTGATAAGTATTGTACAGAATAAAGGAGTCATTTATCTGAGGTGTGTGAGTATATTTCCATGGAATTCAAACGATAAATAATTCTTGAATAACTTAGACAATATGCATTTCCATGCCTCACTTTTAAGCATTTTATTAGTTTAAATTTATTTATTGCCCTTTCTCATTTTTTCTTGTCATTGTTTCTTTCAGCTGTTTTATTCTCTGACCATATTTTCATTTATTCAACTTCAATGTATATCCCTGCATTTTTTAAGTCTGCAAAGAAAAATATTTCAATGCAACTGAAATCCTATTGATTTATATATATATATATATATATATATATATATATATTGCTTCCAATTTTGTTTTTCTGCTTTGTCTAAAACCACATTAAGCCATGCATGTATATTTGTTAAGAATCTTTTTGTCTGCTTCCCCTACTGATCAGTCAGTATATGAGCGTCAAAACCCTTGTAAACCAAACTGCGGAATGCAAGTATCCATGACTGAACCAACAGACACACACTCATCCATTCAACACAACAAGAAAAAATATAAATTCAGCTGACAGATTTTGAAAGAATAAAAACACGCTTCCTGCATTTCACTTACATTCATATCACTGAAATAATTGAGATATATTGATAGAGGGTATTCACGTCTCCGCAGAAAACAGCAATGCTGTAATGCTGTTAACTGATCACTCCGACCTTAAAAAGTTAACAACAGGTAACCTCAAAGTATTGTATCAATTGATTACCAGTTGGACAGGTCATACAACTTCGGTAGTAGTGTGTTAGATAGGGCACCGGTTTTATAAGAAACTGTAGCATCAGGGATAAACACTAATTTTCCAGCAATATCGGTCATCAACGTGATAATATAGTGAACATTGTAGTCATCGTCGAGTATAACAACCACTCTGCTTTTTTACCATTTCATTTATTTGTTTTGTCGTCATTTGCTTATAATATATATATATATAAGCCGCCCGTTAAAAAATGCATGAGTGTAGGATAGTCGTGTTTAACTTTTCCGGTTTCATTATTAGGATTACTATAGCAATATTCTGGGTCAGATTTCAACACGACGGTTATCATTGCAAACATGACTATATCATATCGCAAGTGATACTGAAAGTATGATGTAAGATAACACAAAGCGAATGTTTGGCATGTGACTCGCTCCTGCCAAGTATAAGGTGATGTTAAAGGACTGAGTTACACTGACTCCTAGCTTATAAATAGGGAGTAAAGTGGTAGAGTAAGTTGACCACTTCAGTTATTTTGGAAGTTGCATCAGCCAGCACCAACGGGTTGATCGCTGACGAAATCTCAGCATGGATACACAAGGCTAGTTTCGCATATGCCAGTTTATGTAATCTCTGGAGTAGACGCCATATCCGACTATCAACCAAAGGACGTGTAAACTGCTCAGTAGTCCACTGCGTCCTCCTTTATGGCTGTGAGACTTGGCCATTGAGAGTGAAAGACATGAAAAGACTAGATGTCTTTGATCATAGGTGCCTGCGGTCTATCTTTCGTGTGAAGTGGTATAGTAGAGTAAGCAATATTGAGGTTAGACGTCAGGTATAGAGAGGGGAAATCAATCGACTGAGATGGTTAGGACATGTTTTACGTATGCCTAGACATCGCCTTCTCCAACGGGCAATGTTAGTTGACATAGGATGGATCAGGTTGGAAAAGAGCCGCTAGTGGTCAAGCCAAAACATGCCATCACCCAATGAAATCCACAACAGTTAGTTTAAGCCACGTAGGAAGGTGTGGGCTTCCTAGTTGGGATCCTCGGGACGGTAAAAACCAATGGTTGGAAACAATTGGTGATATGGCTCAAAATCGTTTTCAATGACAGTGCAATTGCATCCACTCCTTGCGGCTTACTATATCCAATAAAACTATGTTGTTCTCCGATAATACTATTCTTCTTGCCTCGTATCTCTGTTTACTGTCCCTATTATGCATTTCTTCTACTTTCTTCTCTGGTTTTGTGTGCTACATAGAGTTTGGAGACTTGAACTGCTGCACATCGGTGCAAAGTTCTATGTTGAAACTAATCAGTCACACAAAGCAAATTCCTCTGCATATTTCTTTGCTCTGTGATAATAATGGCAATTTCAAGAAGGTTTTAAATGAACGAGTTTTCAGTCAAAAGTAGTATACCAATGAAGCTTGTTTGAACTTTTCCATACTTCAAGACAATATTTAACCCATTGTGAAATACAGTTTATAAAGAAATATTTAAATTCGCAGCACTTTCTATGACTACATTAAGAAAAGTATAGTACTTTTGGCTGGGGGACAATTCATCATTATTCAGCTATACGCCTGGTTGAGCATTCATTAAAAAATAACTATTCTTTGTCAATTTGTGTACATTTTCAGAAAATAGTATAGAAACTTTTCAGTACACACGTCCATTCAGTTGAATCAGAATTAAGACGATTCGATTTCACTGTGATTATAAAAGAAAACTACAGATACAAAGGCAGACAAGCAAAAAACTAAAATAAAACATTGTATCGTTTGAGGAAGTTAGTGTTTTTAAAAAAAACAAGGAACATGAAAATTTATTCCGTCATTCGAATATACGCATTACGTTTGTACTGTGCGTGTGCTACTGACAAGACTTACCAGTAGTATGTAAAGAGACGTTGATTGGCAAAAACATATCAAACAGCAGAGAGACAGATTTGAAGTCAAACAGTGAAAATGAACCAGTTTGCGGCAAAACACAGGATCTGTGCAAATGGTGATTTCAACATAAGATATACATAATTTCTCTATAACTGCATATCAAGTGGTGAATGAACTATGAAGTATAGGAACAACACTGATGTAACAGGCGATTTAATGCACCGTTGCTTCATTGATGAAATGGTCGACAACTAGACACGTAGTCCGGGTTCGGATCCACAGTCACAAAACATTCCTAAACCTTCTTTGGCTGGTTGTATCCCTGATAAACAGGAAATGTTGGACATGAGTTTAGCTATCCCATTCCGCAAAAATAAAACCCACCAATGCTAATTTAACTTTGAAACTCAAACCTGAAGTTCTATGTTACTCTCGGAGCGTAAATGAATAAAACAAATAAGCAATTTGGACTCACCGTGACCAGCTTTCAACTGATAAACTAAATCCAATAAACGATCATGACGTGCTTGAAAATTTTCATCCAATGGTAAATAGACCAAAATCTGTGGTCTCCAATTTTTCGTATGAATTGGTTTAGTACCAAGTTTTAGGATGGCTTGTTTTGCAGTGGACATTTGTAAGCCACGTGTAGCATCACCCCATTCTTTAGACGCTCTGAAATAAATAACCACATTGACAGGTATAATACTACAAATAAAAATATCAGTGGAAATAAACAGCTTCATGGAAAAATCAAATAAAGAAATAGTGACTTTAAGTTAGCAGAAAACACATACCAACAAAAGTAGCACAAAAAAATGGGTGAATATAGATTCATCCACTGATGTGATCGGTAGGCAGTTTTCCTGTCAGATGTAAATGTATCAAATCTGTACGAACTAATTACGATATATACATGAAAAGAAGACTTAAGAACTATCTTCTTAAAAAAGAAAACATTGATATGAATTGGAACAGATGGTGCTAAAACTATGAAGTGAGATATGACGTATGTCATCTAGTATTAGCCAAAATGATACTTGCTTTAATGCTTCCAATTATTTCAAACTATTTTTTTGTCAGTAAATAGGGTATATTTGAAGGCGGTTTCAACCATTATCGACTATAACAGTAGTTTTTTTTTCTTTTTGCTATCTCATTTTGGTATTTTGTTGACAAAGCTTACGAATAATAGTTTCCAGTGTCATTTTATGACTGAAAACTACCTGATGGACACGAACTGCATTTGGCATTGATCGGCATGAGATAAATAAATGCTGTATGTAATTTGTGCTTTTTTTTATTACTATTCAAACTGTTTGATATAGTAGTTAACATTACTGTCACCGATACCTAGCAGTTGAAAATGAACTCAGATTCTATCTTATTAGTAATACTGTACTGTAATTAAACAAGCAAACATTTTCATATATGTGGAATATGTAATTTTCTTTTTTTTTCCTGACTAGAATAGTAACGAAAGTCTAGAGTAATTCAGATTAATGTAGGGGAACTATTCAGCATTCAAATATTATTATTTCAGATGTTCTCATTCCTAACAGTATTGCCTTCAAGTTGTTGGAAAATATGGAGTAAATGTGGTGGTACGCTTACTTGGCCACAAGACAACACGTGTATGTGTTCATTACTGTAGAGTAATAATGTTGTGAGTAACTTAAATACAGATTATATTCCGACAAGTGACTGTAGTGGTTAGTTTCACAGAGAGACCATTTCAATCTCCCTAGACGGATGAATTTAACAGCAGGTGACTTAGGCGGGCTGTTAGAGAGAGAGAGAGAGATAAAGGAAAATATCTGAAACAGAAGGAGCATGTGTTGCGTGACCGAAGAGCCCACGGGACAACTATTTGAAGCCGGAGACACCCAACCTATCTGAAGCAGCTTTTGAAGTTTTGAGTAATGGAGAAGATTTGTAGCTCAGATGGATGATTTTGATGTAGTTGTGTTCTCTGAGCTGTATGGTTTACTGAAGAAGCTTTCATTGCCTTACTAGGCAACATCTTCAAAGCATACTTCAATTTGAAGTGAGCTTTTAAATTTCTCAATGAGTTTATTGGTCATCTCCCCTGGTGACCTTGAATGTGATTGATTGTTTAAGTGTGTTTTTACATCCTCTAGTCTACATTTATTGGTATCGATTGTTTCCTTGACCTGAAGTTTGAATTTTGGTGCATGAGATTTTCCTCTTATGGATTGGTAAATTTTACCTATGGCAATGTGCCTCTTAATTACTGATTCATTGGAATGTCAGGCTTCCAAAAATTCTCTAGCATTCTTCATGTTTCCTCCGCCTAATATCTGAACATTGTCCCAGTCGAACTGATGTCCATGGTTGTCTGTATGCAAAGATATGAGGGGGTGAACATCCTGTCTTTCGACAGCTAGTTTGTGCTCATTTATGCGAAAACGAAAACGGCGTTTTTCAGTCGTTGGAATTTATTTTAAAGATGATATTGTTTTTATCTCCTTCTACTGTTGAGCCTTTGAGTTGACACAGAGCTAAGTGAAGGGATTTTGTTGGTTTGTGTGCGACATCAATTCTTAAAGGTTTGAAGAGTCTTGCAGTGATTTCAGAAATGTCGTTTATATGTAGCAAGATGATTTTCTTTGTGTTTTCTTTGAGGACCTTTGATTTGGTTGGCTGGCTTGGGGGTAGATGTCTTTCGATGAAGTTCCGCTGATATCCGTTCTTTCGGAAGACGTTCATGAGATATCTTTCCTCAATTTCTCTTAAGGTAGGAGTGCTGCAATGAGTCCTGGCTCTCTGGAATAATGTTTGTATGCAACTCGTTTTGTGTGTTGTTGGGTTGTTACTGTTCTAATCGAGTATTTATCTGCATGGGTTTATTTTCTGTAAACTTAAGTTTCTAATTTTCCTGTCGCTGTTCGCTTGATTAAGATGTCCAAAAATGTGATTTTCCCTCGGATTCCTCTTCTCTTGTGAATGTTATTTTGTTGAAGATATTGTTTCTTAGTCTATGAGTTTCGTCTCAGTCGTTTTTCTTGATTATCACGAATCTATCATCCATGTAACGTATCCAAATCTTGAGTTTGATCTCCGGTAGGATTATGTTTTCATGTCTTTGCATCACAGCTTCTGCAATCATACCTGATATGGGTGATCCCATAGGTTTTCCCTTAATTTGTTCATATGTTTGGCTGTTGAATTCAAAATACGTTGTTAGACATAGATTCATGCGTTCCATCCAACTTGTGTGTTGTATTTTCGAGTGTTGTGAGAGGTGATAATCGTTGCTGAGTGATTGCTCCATGATTTCTTTGGCTAGTTTCTTTCCAACTGAAGTACATAATGCCGTGAAATCGAAGGATGCCATTATTTCTTGGTGTGTATATGAAGATCTTACCACCGGCTACAGACCACGGTAATATAAGTTTTCAGAGTTGACCTTCTCTAACTCCACCTCTCTTAGGAGCAGAGAAGCAGAACAGCTCGGCTGCTGGTCGTCCAAGGGAAACGCGTTACTGCTGTCACTCCCTTATTTACCAGCAGTACGTCTTAGTCCTCAAACCCTCAGCGTAGTGTTGGAAATTTACATTATGATTGTAGGTGCTTTTAGTGTGGTCGCGAACTAAACGACCCTTCTGGCATGGTTAGACCCAAATGAGTATTCACTCCAGTCAGTGTAGCTCTTTGAGTCAATGAGATATGCAATCCGGACCACAATATCAGGGTATCAGCTACCGGTCGACTAGGGTGATACAATAACAATTAGTGAAAGACGACTCAAACATCTAGCCTTCCCGACTACTGTAACCTACTGAATAATAAATTTAGGTCGCTTACCTTTTTTTTCAGATTAGCTTACTCAGTCACTAACTATAGTTTTGAATGACTAGTGGGTTTTCAGGGAAATGGTTGACATCTGTTTCATTTCTTGTATAAGATTATCATAGATTAACAGAGGTATCTCATTGATACTGTGTAATCAGTAGTTTATAAATAATGCCATTTTGTTCATTTAATATTACTGATCTTATCATTTATATTTCTTTTAGTGTTAATTTGAACAAGCCAAGATGCTATAGTTTCTGTTGATTTCTATATCCCTATTGAAGTATTCAAATACCTCATAAGCACAAGCTGTTAACATTATGATTTCACATAGTACTGAAATATTGCGTTTATTGAAGCATAATGGTATTAGTGTTTCTGTCGACTTTATCTAGCTCTCCCACCTCTTACTTCTTTATCCACCTAGCTTATCGATAAATTACGAAAGAAAAGGAATGGGTGGTTAAATAAAAATCCAAAGCAGAAAGCTTATCTGTAATTAGTTACTTTTGTATATCTTAAAGAAAATGTATATAAATCTAATGCTGCTATTATTGTTGACTTTGATAATGATGTTTATAATGGCATTACTACTCATCCATTATCGTCATTCATAATTAGCATTAAGAGTGGGTATGAAGAGTGGAACACAAAGAAAGGGAAATCAGCCGCTGATACTAACTAATTGCTTAAAAATAATAACTACATTGAGAGGAGACAAAAAAAAACCCTGCTCTAACAATAGAAGAAACAAAACAACTTAAAAATTCAAGCAACATTTTAAATGAGTTGGTTTCATTCAGATATTAGAAGAATCGATCGACAACAGTGCCAACCTGATAAATATTTAGTGCTTTATGGTTAATCAACAGTAAACAGTATTCAAAACCCTGTTTTTTAGTCATCCATATTACCACTGAGTGGTTTACAACCACTAAAGACCTTTTAACACTAGATGAAATAAGAGATTGTCGGCCCCCGTAGTGAAAACATTACTAGCCACCAAGTTTGAAGCTGAAAATTTATGAATTTCAAAGTTCTACAGTTAGATATCAAAATAAATGCACGTTTGCATACCAGGGAAGTTCATCATGTTAAGATCACAAGTAGAGAAGGGGGAAAAATTAGGATAAAAAGTCGTTGTAATACTCGTTGTAATATTTCAGCGTTCGTATTTTCACCCTTACTAATATAAAATAGCTACAAATGGAATTATATTCCCAACCTTTTACTCATCTCTCATATCATGTCAACAGTGATTCTTATCACATTGGAAATTAAATTCACAGTTAAATATTCAAAGTCATATTCAATAGGCATGCCTTACTAATGTTTAATTGAGAAGAGATATGTGAACATACGCACGAAATAAAGAAGAACAAGTCCAGGTACTTCATTGTAAACGATATCACTTTAGAAACGAAAGAATACAACTGGACATAAACAAATGTACCAATATTAACGCCGGCAAAACTGTTAAGATTGGTCAATGAGTGGATAAATTGTTAAACAAATTATATTGCCCTAAGGGGTTAGATGCGTTCATGTGTACGCATACACGATAATACAAAAAGAAAAAGTAATCATTAAATGAGAGAAATAAAAGTATAGATGACAAAGTATATTTCTGGTGATATTCAGACATGGAGTGGACAATATCTTCATTTCACCAGTTTTGTTCCTATCCAATATAAACCTTCCCTAGTGAAATGTTTCTTTCCAACGGCCCGAAAAATACGCACAAGCGACTCATTGATGGATGAGCTTCGACACATACATTCAGTTTTATTAGCTAATGGTTATCCAGAAAACTTTATCACTTGTCACTGTAAGGAAAGACCACTTCTTGAAGAGACAGCTTCTGTACCAAAAAAAGCTATGTTTATTAATCTACCATCCGAGAGTGATCATATAATGCAGTTGACAACTCAAAGACTTCAGTCAGCCTTCAAGCGCACATTTCACGCCTCATATCTCTTCCCCTCACATATCGAACATTTTCCATCCCTATACCTACCTACGACTAAAGGACGAAATTCTGTGGACTCTACTTCAAACTGTTTCTACAAGTTCACCTGCAGTTTCAGTGACAACTATGTATGTAGAACCAATAGGATGTTCCAAGGTCATCAAAAAATATGTTCCAAAATGGTTATCAAGACACATAGAAAGTCCCAGTGCAATCAATCTGAATAGAAATATATCATTATCCATTGCAAAGCACTTATTTAATGTCAGGTCACAAAATCAATATTAATGACGACTTCACAATTATTTCATGTGACTCTAATTCAAGGTTATTGAAGGTGATGGGATGCACTTTGGATTGATCACATACATCCTAAACTGTGTGTACAAAAACAATAGACTTCAACCTTTGACTACCAGGGTCAACTTGACCTGTTTAAATATGATTGGTCATTAGTATGTTTTTTATTTAACTGAGTAATGGTCATGCTTTTCATTTTATTATTATTGTGAACCATGATGGTTGTAAAACGATTGTAGAGAAACTAAAAATCATATCATCTCGCGAAATTTGTCTTCTAAATGCTTTATTCAAGTGTAAGAGTATTATTTGTACACTGTGTTAATTTACAATCATATCCTGTAATCTTAAATGTAACTGTCAAATGTGCATCTGAATAATAAGATGCATATATACCGAAGTTTTAACGCGAACACACGAGGGCATTTTCACCACAAAATGTTCGCTAACAAATGTATTATGTCATCCATCCTATATTAGATAAGCCTCATTATTACTGTGGAGATTTTTGAAATCATCTCCCATCTACGTGGATTACACAACTGCAATTCATCCATAAAAAATGTACATACTGTCAATTCTTACACATCATTCTGTCCCGTCAGTATATGCAACAATATTACATTTTCCTTCAGAGCGATGTTGAGCTAAGTTACCCAATACATACATTTTTATGTAGTAGGGTAGAAGTCACAGTTGGCGTTAGAGGAGGAGCTTATGATTGTATTACCGACTCGGGAAGACATGAGGTAGTCAGGATAGAGTTTAAAATCAAAGATATAGTAGGTGAAAGTTAAGTGCTTCGGCCAATTAACTACACTTTTGTATGCCTTCTCAAAATAAAGAAAGAGTTAACCAACTAGTTCAAAGAATGTATAAAGTAAAGTAATCAATACACAGAGAGAAAAAAAGCTAACAGAAAAAGAAAATGTAACTTTAAATTCCCCCTAGAAAATGTAAAACAAAGTGCAAATGGTATTTTGTACTGGAGACAAACGTTTGTTTTGTTTATTTTTATTATTTATTATTATTTTAAAATGAAAAATACAGACAATATCTCTTGTCTAAGAGGAGAAGAATGCCACACTTTTTTTAACCCCCCAAAAAAACATATTTCACTATATCGATAGACTCACTACTTTTCCGTCTGACCATTGATTAAACATTCCTATGATTTGTAAGAAATTTACAGTGACGAAAAACTCTCTTATTTATAATGTCGAACTTGATTTATTTTAACTTTACGGTTGAATAGAGTTTTTGCCACTTATTAAAAGAAAAACCATCGAATGAATGCTTAAAACAAAGCCGATATCTTTTTTTTCTATTTTCCAGGTACTTGAAAGCATGCAATGGGCAAAGTTAAAGATACATGTCACACTATACAAGTTGGAAAACGTATATACCTAATTATATGATGACCTTGAGCTTGAATAGTTTTTAGAAACGATTTTCCACTTATATAAAGTAGAATTATTATCCTATTTGTTTCTCTCGGACTTGCGTAGACAGTTAATATAATAAATGCTGAGTAACTACCCTTAAAGTCTACAAAAATATCCAAGTTTTGAATGTTTAAGTTAGCCCGGAAAACTGTTACAATTTTGAACAGACTTCAGCTGAATAAGCTTAGATTGTTGTAACGACTTATCATCAATGAGAGTAATTCACAACCTACTGAAACTCCAAAGAATATTCTAACTGAAAGCGTTGCGTCACAATGGACCGCTGACGTCACTCGATTCACTAAACAATCTCACATAAACAAATTCATGATCAGCTTGTAAAGATGACAAAACCCGTTATCTTTGATATACTATAACCGTGATAAAAATGTGCAAACAGACTCATTTGAATCATAGTCATAGAGGTTGTGTTTTGACGCGATAGTTTTTGAGATAAACGATAAGCCAGATAGGTAATTTTCATAGGTTGTAGAATAATTCAAAACAAAAAAATATCCACCAAGGTGCACTTGTTTGTCAGTTTATGTGATAAAAAAATCTAAAGTACCAAACTCACATAACACCTACTATCATTCATTTTTATGTGTTAAATTAAAAATTGGTGATCGAAAGCTCACTAAAGTGCTGAAAAAAGACAGGAGAGCACAGAAAGAAGAAAACTTTTAAAAAGGAGTTTTAATCCGGGTTAGGTTGAACTAATAAGTAATACACTTGCAAAAAAGCCTTCAATGAAACACCAATAGTGTCATCAGCCAAGGATTGGATCACTTGTCAGCTCATTGAATTATATATATATATATATATATATATATATATATATATATATATAATTGCATTGGGACTTTCTATGTGTCTTGATAACCGTTTTGGAACATATTTTTTGACGACATTGGAACATCCTATTGGTTCTACATACATAGTTGTCACTGAAACTGCAGGTGAACTTGTAGAAACAGTTTGAAGTAGAGTTCACAGAATTTCGTCCTTTAGTCGTAGGTAGGTATAGGGATGGAAAATGTTCGATATGTGAGGGGAAGAGATATGAGGCGTGAAATGTGCGCTTGAAGGCTGACTGAAGTCTTTGAGTTGTCAACTGCATTATATGATCACTCTCGGATGGTAGATTAATAAACATAGCTTTTTTTGGTACAGAAGCTGTCTCTTCAAGAAGTGGTCTTTCCTTACAGTGACAAGTGATAAAGTTTTCTGGATAACCATTAGCTAATAAAACTGAATGTATGTGTCGAAGCTCATCCATCAATGAGTCGCTTGTGCGTATTTTTCGGGCCGTTGGAAAGAAACATTTCACTAGGGAAGGTTTATACTGGATAGGAACAAAGCTGGTGAAATGAAGATAATGTCCACTCCCCGTCTGCTTACAAAATATGGATCGCTTAGTCGTTCCATCGTCTCTCATTCATATATATATATGAATGCAAAAATTTGGGTCATATTAAGAACAAGTCCAATGAAGAGGAACATTTATCTTTTGTAGTTAATCCATGAGCAGATTTATATCGGTAAGTCGACATGGATGACTATGACTATTGAAGTACATGTTTATTTTGAACTTCGTATATGTTTGATATCTAATTTTTCACAGACTCAAAAACCAATAAGTTAGCAAAAGAAGAGGAGGGGATAGGACTTTAAGTGAATACACATAAGTCAGAAGTGATGAAGATAAACAACCGCTAACAACAAGCATCATTAGCCATTAACGGAAGACATCTACAGGTAGTTAGCCGCTTTACTTGCCTAGGCGGTGTAGTTTCAACTACTGGTGGTACAGATGAGGTCGTCAAAGGCGGGACGGGGAAGGCAAGACAGACATTCATTATTCTGAAATTAGTGAGGAAGTCTACTACATCCAGAATAGGAAACCGGATCCAAATTTTTGATAGTAATATGCGGTCAGTGCTTCTACATGGTCCAGAGATTTGGCGAGTCGCGGAAAGCATTTACAGCAGACTGAAGACTTTCATCAATAGCTAACTTCTCTCCACAGTGAATAGAAGATGGAAGGAAGCATGAGAAACAACGAACTCTGTCAGACAACTATTCAACCAAGAACTTATTGCCTAGCATATATCGAATTAGTTGTGTTCTCTGATATGTACAAGCAAATGGAGATGGACTGGACACACTCTGAGGGGACTGCTGCGTGACATCACGTATCAGACCGTCGAAAGGAACCCAGAAGGAAAACGATGAACTGGGCATCCAAGTGTGGCATGGAAGAGACCATGTCAGGAGATATGATGCTGAATGAAGCCCTGTGTCCCACTCGTAACACAAAGGAATAATAATAATAATAATACAGTCATCGTAAGTGTATTTCACCGCCATCAGAAAGAAATATATAGAGATGGACAATCATTACCTGTAAAGTAAAGCTAAAATGAAGGCAATCCTTAACAAATATGTATGTCTTAATGAATAAGATGTGTATTCTGAAATATACGTGTATTGCTAATTGCTTAGTTTGCTGCTTGTAAATGTCTTTTCCCTAGTCAAAGATATTTCCGACGAAATAAAGGATTAATTAAGCCTGTGAAAGTCACTTCATTTAGAACATTTCAAGAAAAAGTCTGCAAACTTTCCTCACGTGAACAAACTAGGAAAAACTTTCTTTTAAATGCAAAAGCAAACTTACCCTCTATATTCAATATATTTGTAAATTGCGAACGCCAAAGCCCATGCCACAATAGTATAATACCAGCTGGATATAAACATTAGTGCAATACAAAGACACAATCCAATGAATGATAGGAACCTAGAAAAAAAGTGGATGAGTAAAACAATTAACATTCAAATGTGGTTATCCCGACAATAAAAAGCTAAACATACAACTGATGTATTAAGTGATGATGGTTGTGATCACTAAAAGTGAAATGAGGACTCGGACCATCGGATTACTTGCTCTGAGCTCCACCGACTAAGCTTGAAATACAAGCTTAAAAAAGCAGACATTAGTTTAGTTTCATTTCTTGCATTCCGAGTGGGACAAATCGCTTCAAGCTTTTGAATTTCCCGTAGCTGTGATGTTGTTAGTTCCACAGGCAACCTTCTCTTTTTCTGGGCTTATTAACAGCTGGAAAACTAGGTGACCTTGAGAAATGAGTCAGCAGGGAATCGAACATGTACGTCTTGAGTAGTTTGTGAGCATTCTGCAGTTGAATTACTGATATATATGGATAGATTTATTAGAAAACCAAATTTATCTTCAAAATGTGATTGCTTTGCGAACTATATTTCGAAAAAAATGACCACACATCTACTTGTCATTTTAATTTATGTTGAAGTGAAAAAATAAACAGCCAAGTAAAACGGAAAATAATTAGAAATCTTAGAGGAAGGAGGATACTAGATGACACTACTCTAGGTAATATAAGCATATCATATTTAGCAAGGTAAATCGATTGTAGCAATAAACTGTTTTGTACAAACAAGTGGTGGTGAGGGGCTAATTTTATGGAAGATTATCGCCTCAGCATACTTTAATATCTAACCTTGTAAGTTCTATTTACGTAATCAAGTAATCTATTTTGATACTATTATTATTATTTCTTTTAATTCCTAGAGGAACATAGGGCTTCAGCCACGCGTCTTCATTGCGTTCGGTTCTTTGCTAGAGTTTTCCCTAGCACCAAGTCTGCCAACATGCTTTCATTTCCTCTTCACATGACCTCCTCCATGTCACCCTTGGACGACCAACTCGCCGCTTCCCTTTCGGGTTCCACTCGAGGGCTTGTCTAGTGATGTTACTTGATGGTTTCCTCAGAACATGGCCAATCCACCTACCTCCATTTCTTTCTGCCTATTTGTTGCACAATCGGCTCCTGGCTGGTCCACTCCCAGAGATCCCTGTTGCTGATCTCCTCTGGCCAGTCATCTGATCATGAGTGGTGCTGAGCGAAGACAGCTGTTAATGAAGGTCTGTAGTTTGTTTGGGGTGATCTTTATGACACGCCGAGTCTCCATCCCGTATAGTGGCACTGACTTCACATTGGAGTTGAAAATCCGGATTTCATTTTTCATGCTGAGTGATGTTGACCTCCACACAAACTTGAGAGTAATGAGAGCTTATCTTGCTTTCCCGATCCTTGCTTTAATATCCTCGTCAGTTCCGCCTGTAGTTGAAACGATGCTTCCTAGGTAGGTAAAGGAGGTCGTTTCTTTCAAGTTCCTCTTATTTATGCTGATTGTTGTATGTTGTTGTTGCTGTTACTGTTGGCCAGAAATCTTCACCACCTCGGTTTTCTCTATGCTCACCTATCTTTTCTGGATGCTTCTTCTGCCAGCTTGTCGCTTTTCACTTGCATATCTTCCAGTTTGTGGGAAATCAGACATATATTGTCGGCGAAGTCCAGGTCCTCCAAGTTTTTTGTGTGGGCCCATTTTATGCCTGTTTCCTCATTGCCCGTTGTCTGTCGCATTATCCAATTTACTGCAATCAGAAAAATCATTGGCGATAGTAGGCAGCATTGTCTTACTTATTTTGATAATAGTCTTATCATTCGCATTAATATTGTGTTCTGCTACAGAGGGGGATAAGAGTCCACCACCTGCGTTTACCTAGAGGTACTGGATGGAGCTACCTAAGATGGTCTTGGATTGGCAGACTGCCAAGATTCAAATTTTTACTTCATCTTCATAGATGGTTGTAAGGAATTTATACATTGTAGTTTGCTTAGAGCATCCATCTAACTATCCTTTTTTTTACTAGTCATTACATTTATTTACACAGAATATCCATTTAGTCTTAGACCATAACAATAATAATTCTATTTCAAACAAAGCATTTATTTATTTGTGTAATCTGTTATTTTTTTGGACTAGAAAATAGTTTACTGGAATGACTCTTCATTTATCTATCTATGCAGCATAGGAGGTATATAGTGTTGTTCTTGTTTTTTCTCATAATAATAATTTTTACATGTTCGCGTGTCCGCAGACATGAAATTATAATTTGGAAAATTTATTACAAAAATAAAAGTCACAAACAAAACTGGATTTTAAAAGCATAGACAAGTCTAAAATATGTAAAAATACAAAAAATAATAATAATTGAGATAGGTTAAAGGGTTACTACATGATTGATAAGAATAAATAGACAGTAGATGAATTTGTGTGTTCGTGTGTCTATAGGTGTCACAGGCTTAATGATATAGTGGCCTTGAAAAAAATTGATTACCAGATGAGTTATTGCATTCAATTGCGAATGAATACTTTAATGAAATCATCTGATTTCAGGCTGTAGTGATGATAATATTCCAAAATGAACTTACACAATGAAAATAAGAATGTTGTCAGAATTAAGCATTGTAGGGAGACAGAGCAATTGTTATTGTCATTATTTGTGTGAAAGTGAATTAGTAAATTTTGGGTGGAGTTACGTAATACAAAAATGGTTAAGAAAATAGGGTGTCAGTGAGACTAGTTTAGTAGTAAAAAAGGCGATGAGATGTCACAAACAGTGGTTAAAAAGGAGTTACGTAATAATATGAATAGTTTGATGATTAAGTTGTACTCACGATACATATAGGAACAAAGTAGAAAGTACGCAATTACGTAAGAGGTCAACACGAATACAAGAATTATAAGCAATTAAAGAAACAGGCAAGCAAACAAAACTAAGTCATCAAAAATCAAAAATGTGAATTAAAGAGGATGGTAAAATCTCTTGGGATAAAAGTAACCTTTTTATATCAAATTTTAGAAACATTACAGTAGAAATAATCATTGATTTGCAGAGTGAAATAAGATAATTTTCTTTAAAATTCTCCAGAATCCTCATCTGAATAATCAGGATTAATCATGCTTTAAAAAATGTCGTAGTTTGCAATTTGTTTAATTTGTTGAGGCATAATGGAATTCAAATTCTTCCGTGCTAACGTGACTTTTAAGAGTGTTTTTATTGGCCAAATTGACCTTCACATTTCATCTCAGTCATTTTGTAGTATTCACTGAATTAGGTCATTTTGTATGGATAGATAATTTTGTTTTATACAATGAAAAAAGTGAAGGCATAATAGAAGCTACAGTCTTCAGGAGGACTCAAACCAAACATCAATCGCTTTGCAAGTCTCCACATCCTGATCATGTCTCAATTCCACTTCTACTGTCGAAGATGTTTCTTATAGTCAGCAATAGTAGAATTTTAACAATATGTGAAACAGACACTAAGTCATTCTTGTTAAACACTTTTATCGGTAATTAGATTTGTCATTCATCAAACAATATGTACTCGCTGTTATCTTCAACCTAATACTGTAGTGTCCTTATTTTGACTCCAGTGTTTGTACTCTTAGGAAAAATAACGACCTTATTTAGTAAAGTGTTTTATCGAACTACAATTACCTTTAGTTACTTGAACCCTCTGGTTATCATTAAACACTACTTCAATGATTCGAATGTCACTAAGTTTATTTGAAGTAATGAAATTTGCTAATTAGGAAACTATAAAATAGCGGAGTCAACTCGTACCATAATACACAAAAACATAATCTGAAATTCTAACTGAAAGAAAAACGCTGAAGAAATTATCCACGACTAAATTTTTATACAGTAGTTTGTATTTCGCATAGATGCTTCCATGTCAAACTGTCAGCGATTCACTCAGAATTCCAATATCTTATGGTCTTCCACTTCTTACAAATAACACTAACCAAACAGTCCAACTGCTGTCTATCGTTGTTCAGTGGAAACTACCTTTGACACAGAATTTTCAAGGCTTTACCGAGGATTTTGACCTTCATCAACAAAGCCACTAGTAAGAACAATTCATCGTCGAAATACTTTGTTCATAAGTCAGAGGAATGCCTGAGCAGTATCTTGTTAACCAAGAGATTTGTAGTTCATCGACGTCTAACCTTATTAGGTCATCTGATTGTGTTGTCATATGTCAACAGCAAGATCACACAAGCTGTCCAGTTAGTGAGGAACTATTTTCAAAAATAGTTTCCTAATCCGTACCACATTAGGCATTGGTGTTTTCTGTCAGTTGAGCTGTAAATATAGTGTATTAATTTAATCAGACGAGAGTATTAGTATCTTTTTTGTCTTGTCACTCTCTTTCCTACTTTCTTATATTGAATTAATAGGGAAGAAAAAGAAAAGTGGGCAAAGGCAAGTGATGAGGAGAAAATTATTCTCGTGTACATGAAATTTTTCTTCTTTCTAACTATTCTATTATGTGTATGTAGACCTGGAAAGTATATGACGCAGGATGTTTCTATTACTCTGTAGGCGCGCTAATTCAATTCACATGCTAATTAAACGAAAAGAAGAGTGTCATGTGATTGCTATTTATAATTCTGTGGTACATATATACGTATATATTTATATAATAGATACATATATGCACATATGAATAAATGCACGTATGCACTTCCCCATATTTGATATTTTAACTGTTATTATTCTGTCTATCCCATAATCTTAAGTCAACTTTGGATAAAAAAAATGCTGAAAGACTATTTGGCTTTATAGTGAAACTCGAGCACATCCTACTACAAATAACGAAGCATGTCAACAGTCTAATAACCTTTCAGAGAGACATCAGTCAAGACAGGGAAAATAGGGGGCGACAATATTATAACATCAGACAAAGAGAAAAACAAAGCAAAAAGATGGCGTATAAGCTTTTTCTAATAAAAGTAGTACTAAGATACAACTTATTTCTCTTCTCTATGAAATTACATATTAAAGTAGTCGGAAACATAAAAACAGCTTTCAAATGAATTCAACTAAGAGGACAGAGTCGCTTGACGA